GTGATGACGTCACGAGGCGCCCCGCACCACAGAACCAGCAGCACAGAAGTTAATGGATGGGACAGGTCACGGCAGATGTGCATTAGGTCGGTGTCGCCACAGAGGTGTATCAGCTGACAGCCCAGTTTCATACAACAGCGTCACAGCAGGGCTTCATTGACCAGCAGTTCCCATCTCCTATGACGAAGGGGTTGCTGCTTTCTTTCAATCAATGCCTGGCCAAATGTAGCATCATAAACGCAATGACATGGCATGGACGCAAACGAGGTCAAGGTCATGTCTTCTCCCAGCGCGACCGAAGAGTTACTGCTACTGAGGACCAGGCCGTGGCTTGGAGGGTACGGCATGGCCAGTATCACAAGTGAGGTCCGCCAAACAGCTCCCGCCCCGTACAATGCCACAAGGCAGGGGTCAGTGGTGAGACTAGCCGAAGAGCTCTCGCCCCGTACAGCAACACAAGGCAGGGGTCGGTGGTGAGACTAGCCGAAGAGCTCTCGCTCCGTACAGCAACACAAGGCAGGGGTCGGAGGTGAGATTCTCCGAACGACTTCCGCCCGTACAGCAACACAAGGCAGGGATCGGAGGTGAGATTCTCCGAACGACTCCCGCCCCATACAGCAACACAAAGGAGGGGTCGGTGGTGACATTGGCCGAAGAGCTGCCGCCCCGTACAGCAACACAAGGCAGGGGTCTGTGGTGAGATTTGCCTGTGAGCACAAAAAGAGATCCAAATCAGCCAGCTACCATATTTCATGCTTCTTCTCACCTGAGCAGGTTGCCACAGACCAAGGTGACCTGGGCTGGCCAGCATGACCGTCCACCTTCTTCTGCCACCTCCACCATACTGCCCACATGGAACGTCCCCGGGTCCAGCACCTGCGCCTGCCAGACCACAGATGAGAGCTGTTTAGAACATTGATAAATGGTGAGCAGTAGGGCAGGTTAGTGCCAGCGAGGTAAATGCTTACATCATGTAATGTCTGGCAAAAAGCCACATCATTAATTAAATATCATCGTGCGGAAGCAAACAAAAAGTGGTCAGGGTGTACTTTCCTACCTAACGTTAGAAAAAATCATTGTACACCATTCATCGTGTTTAAGGCAGGCCATATCGTAAATAATCACAAAACAGGTAGATTCATGCTCTTACCTTCAAAATTTTGTATAATTACGATGGCGAGCTGCCGAGCGCCGCACACACACAGCAACCGCGACACCCGCGCCTCAATGGCCTTGCCCGCGCCATTACTGCGCGCGGTCACAACATTACTGCGCATCAAGCAGCATCAAGGACCATAAAAATGTACCGGGCCAAGGTAAGAAGAATCCATGAAATTTGATCCTCGACGCCAACACCGAACGATGGGTTGCAGGGGGATTGGGTGGGGAATGTAAGGCAAAATGAGAGCATGGCGGCTAAATAGAGGCTCACTATACGGCACCTATATATGGCATGGAACATGGACGCCAATGGGACGCTGGGTTGAAGGGGATATAGGGTGGGGAGGTAAGGTTAGGTTAGGTTAGGTTAGGTTAGGTTAGGTTAGGTTGGGCTCGGTTCGGTTCAGTTTGGTTCAGTTCGGTTTGTTGGGTTGGGTTGGGTTGGGTTGGGTTGGGTTGGGTTAGGTTAGGTTAGGTTAGGTTAGGTTAGGTTAGGTTAGGTTAGGTTAGGTTAGGTTAGGTTAGGTTAGGTTAGGTTAGGTTAGGTTAGTTAGGTCAGGTTCATTAGGTCAGGTTAGGTAAGGTTAGGTTTGGAAAGGTTAGGTTAGGTTAGGCTAGGTTAGGTTAGGTTAGGTAAGGTAAGGTAAGGTAAGGTAAGGCAAGGTAAGGTTAGGTTAGATTACAGTTGGTTAGGTTAGGCTAGTTTAGGATGTGTGCTGGACTATTCTGTCCTATTCAGTCCTGTGTGTTTCATAAACGTACCTAAACGCGATAAGAAACGATTTTCACTGCTTGCTTATTGTTACCTTGGCCCCGTACATTTTTTTTGGTTCTTGATAAGCAGAAATATTGTACTTCGTAACAACGTAGAAACGGCGCATGGGAGCCGAGGCGGTGCGGTGCGGTGCGTGCGGCGCTCGGGAGTTCGCTGTCGTGTTTATTAAAATTCGAAGGTAGGAGCATGATTCTACCTGTTTTGAGATTATTTACGATGTGTTCCGCCATAAACACGACGAATGGTTTACCTTGGTCCCATATTTTGTATAGTTCTTGGTAAGCAGAAATATTTTATTTACGCAACGGCAGCGCAGAAACGACGCTGGGGAGTCCGGGCGGTGCGGTGTGTGGGGCGCTCGGGAGCTCGCCATCGTAGTTATTGAAATTCGAAGGTAGGAGCATGATTCTACGTGTTTTGAGATTATTTACGATATGTGCTGCCTTAAACACGATGAATGGTGTGCCATGATTTTTTCTAACATTAGGTAGGAAAGTACACCTACACCTAAAAAGTCATTTACTCTCTTAACTTAAGTGGGGATACAGTGCTAGTGAGGATCAGAACATGGCTTGGAGAGTACACCTCTTGCTGATTCTATCATTGCTTACATGACTGAAGACTGCTTCATTTGCTGCTGTCAACTCTGACTGATCCAGGTATTTCTCCCATGCAAACCCTGAAAACACAGATTCATCCATGGATTAAAAAATCACAAATGCATATTGGAATTAAGTTGGGTAGTGTGTTGATACCTTGATTGTCATACTTTCATTGGCATTACCATCTGCTGCTGATGTGATAGCAACAATAGTGCTGACAGTAGATTTGGTGTCTTTTGGATAAGAAGAAATGGACCTAATTAGAGTGCATTGCTACTATGTGGTTATATGTCAATATCTGGGGTGAACAAAGCATGGTTTTCTTTTTCCTTTTTTCAGAGCTTTCACTAGTCAATAGTTTTTCATCAGGTAGACAACTCATACCCAAATGATGAATTAACAGATTAAGTGAATAATGCCAACCCACACACCAGTGTAACTAATGGCATGCTACCCTGTACTTTCCTCTCAGCATCATAATTCCTTGAAAGGCCCTGTATGTACTCAAACTTTGGCTAGCACCATGTGTGAAACAGCATTTTCAGCATGTTCAGGGTAACCCTCGCAACCCAATCAGCATCCTGGTTGTAAATGAGTGAAGCTTTCACCTGCAGTAGTATCATATATCAGCTGACTGTTAAAATCTAGGTTGTATTCACAATAAGCTGTCACTACGAACATACCACATCCCAAACTGACATCCTACACTACACATCATACATATCCTTGAAATGACATTTTCCAGTAACCTGAACATGAGCTCAAAGACATGTATTGACAAGCCATGTCATCTTTGAATTCTTTGCTGCCATAATGTGAGGTAAAATATGGTATTAATTGTGGCCTGCATGTTTTATATGTGAATTAGCACCTAGCCAGACAAATACTGCCACTGCCCTCACTATACTTCTGCCATCTCAGGAGAGAAATCATAACAGCATTCCAAATATTTCAGACCTGGGTACCCATCAGTGCAGGAGCACATGACAAGACAATACCTGGAGACGAAAAGATGACATCAATGAAATATAAGCTTTGGAATACATAAACTGCACCTGAACCCAACGATAACTTTGCTAACTGATACTCAACACGTACAGTGGAAGCAAGCATTGTTATTGTTAAGTGAACCTACCTGCGTCCATATCGTCACATTTAACAAGGTGTTCAGAAGATTTTTCAGCTTTTCAGCGCCCTACGTAAGCATCCATGTAATCACCCATCCGAACCTTAACAATCACGAAGGGCCTGATCCCAGATACGGGGTCGCGCCCAGCCATGGGCACCCCGAGGCTTCTCCACTACGAATCCTCCCATTAGTTTGTTGATTTTAGCGTACTTTACGCACATGTGCGCCATTATGCCGTGTTTTCTTACCTTCGTCAGCTGATTGCATAATTGGACATCAAAATAGCTTTTGCGAACAAATTTGAACGTCAGGGATGCCGTTTCCTGTTCAGCTGAGAGACTTCAGCACGCCTTCCTCCCAACTTGGACTCCAGTCCCCCAACTTTGTAAGGAATTGGGCCAAATCTGGGAGGAAAGTTGCCTGTTGACATATTTTGGGGCAGGTCGGGCCATTTTTTCACTGTTCTCATTTTCCACCGACTCATTTTGTGAAACTGCGCCGATGCTGAGAACTCAAAAGGCCCTCAGATGTGACAAATGACCGATGGCTGAGGAGATGATGACACCCAAAATAGACCTGAAGGAGATACCCAGGGACGTAGTTTACTGTGCAGTTGGGGGGAGCGGACGTTCGAGCTACCTACACATGTTTGAGATAGAAACGGGCCACATGTGAGAGAGACAAGTATGAGGGGCATTTTGGGGAAGGTTTTGCCATTTTCACTGCTTAGACCCTCAACTCATGCGAAGTTATTGGTGCCGTTTGAGCTCTAAAAAACTTCAGGTACCGTTTCAGAGGCAATGTTTATTGACCAGGTCAATGGCAATGTTTCCGAGGATCACCGTCAGGAATCTGTGCGCAAGATTTTACGAAGGGCAAAACGCAGAGATTTTTTTTAACTGAAAGCCTTGGAGACGCGGGCGCAATGACATTATTGCGTGAAGTAAAGCGATATGGTATGTTCTGGCAGGCATATATTTCGATCCCGAGGGTGGATCCAGGATCCCATACGTCAATCACGCTAGTGACACTGGTTTAAAGAGCAATTTTCGAATGCTGCAGGAAAGCGTGTTTTGATATACCTCGGCCTCAAAGGAAATAAAACGCTTCTAGCGATTCAAAAGGCACACATGGCACACAAAAAATGCATTATAAGTTCTCTTTTTGACTTAAAGGACCGATCAAATCAGCACGGAACAGAATGAATTGGACTTATCACATCGGTTTTATCCGTATTTTGGGCTTTTAGCTATGTTTTAGGGTTAACTAGAAAAGCCATAGTTTTACCATACGGCATCAAAATGATATCAACGGCTATAAATGGCTGACGTGGATGACAGCTCCGCATCATGGCGCAAAGGCTCGATGGCGCACCTGTCAGCCAAACAAGCCAAACACACGACCGGCGAACGCATAGCGGTGATTTCGTGGGCCCGGTTGCCGTAAACAGGAACCTGGCGGCCGCGTTCGTGTGCGAAAACCGGTATCCCATACTTACAATGTGTGGCATTTTCGTACTAGCGACCGTGGTATTTTCATACGAGTGCCTTTACTGGCTTGAAATCAATCCCCTGTATTTCAAAAATCCATTCCGTTACAATAGCTCATGTAATGTTAAGCAGCATCCATGTCAGTTTTTAAGCTACAAAAATTGAGTGAGGATCCTAACTGCTGTGACAATTTTTGAGAAGGTGTTTGCACATGAATATGTGGAACATCACGGACATTCCTTTGCACTGTACCGACATTTGCCATCCAACAATAGCATCTGAAGTGGTTGTGTGCTCATCTGCAGATTGGGCATCTGAACATATTGAGGCAGGACCCAGGCTAAGTATTGGGGCAGTTTTTTATTTTGAGGGGCCTAATTGTTTAGCTGTTTGGCACTGCTCTCCCAGTAAAAAATTGTGTAAAGGTCAGAAGTTACACCATTTGGGAAGGGTTTCAAGCTGCCTAATTAAAACCTCCACATACTAAAAAGTCAACAGTGTCTCTGTAAGAACCCTAGACTGAGGAAGAGGCATCTTATGCCATCCAGCTTGGTAGTGGCATAGCAGCAACAGTTTCAGTGTGCATACATTAAATCTGAGTGTTCAGAGTTAGGCATGCTATTTGCACCAAGTTGTATGAAGTAAAGCAATTTCAAAACATTGTAGCATAGCCAGGGTGATTTTAGGCAAGCCATCTGTAAATCTTGTGCCAAACCAATTTGAAGATGCAGTGCAATTTGGCCTGCACAGGGTTTGGCACATGTAAATACACAATTAGCTTCACTGATACTGGGAGGCATCCCGTGCATTGCATGATTTTTTTTTTAAGGAGGCACTTTTCTATGTCCCATTCAGGAATATTGCTATAGAAGATGGGGTAAGGGCTGCATTGCCCTCACTGACACTTTGTGGCCCTATGTTGTTGTGGTCACACTATTATCTCCCCCTTTGCCCTACTACAGACTTGTCTCTTCTCACTGCAGTATTTTGATATCACTGATAATAACACATTCTGGCCTATGGCTACACCATATAACTTCACTTCATCTATGAGGTTTTGTGGACTAACTTAACTACACTTGCAAGGAACCATTCATATATGATGCATTTGCCATTGTTAGTATGTGTGCAATATTATATCCAGTATCAAATGGTGGTGTGGACAGGCTCGGAATTTTGTACATGTAAGGTGCACAAAAAACAAAGTATGAATGGTGAAAAGCTATTTTGTACAGCTGTGTGGGTGGTGATATGGCTCTGATGGCCTCTGGTAGGTGATGTGGGTGACCTTTATACTATCTGTGTATTGTACAAATATCCTACAGCATTATTTTTTTCTAGGCATGTTGGACATGTCATCTCATTGTGCATTGGTGCATTGGTCTGATGTTGCTACCCTGGTGCTCTTCTGGTATGTAATAGCTAAGACTTTCTGGATATAAGATGTCATAGCCCATATGTTCACTGGGTTAAAGGTCGCATTATAATAATGATGTTTTTCATGCCATTTCCAGATGTGAGTGAGAAGCTCTTGTTGAAGTTAAAACTCTACATTTTTCACACATCAAAAGATGGGGTTTGACGTCAAACGGTAAGCTTTGTCTCATTGGGTCCTTCCATAACTGCATGTAGTGCAACATAAAAATGATGTGGTGAAAGCATAACTATTTTCTGTTACATTGCTTTCTGAATGCTCAGATCATTAAAGTTGGTTTTAGGGTGTCTCCAAGTTGTTTTAAAAATGCAAAAGGCAAAAATGCAATGCTAGAGGTGGGTGTCAATACATAAGTACTACAGCAAAAACTCCTACTGGCAGGAGTGCCACAGCATCAGTCATGTGCAACATTGCTTCTGCTGTAAAAACTTACATAGGGCTTAACTGCTAAGTGACATTAATTCTGCTGCAAAAAACATGATGAGTGCTATAATACAAAGTTTATCCTTCAAAAGCATATAGATGCCATTATATCTATTTTAAAAACATATACAGTCTGTACTTATGCACAGCATTACTTCCATTGCAAAAGCTCATGCATGACATAAGTGCTACATGACAAAACTTATGCTGCAAAAACATGTCAGTCATTGTTTCTACAGGAAAGACTGGATCACAAATCTTTGCAATAGCACTAATATTGCATATTAGTCTTTTCAGTAGAAGTAGTACTGTGTGTGAGCAACAGATGCATAAGTTTTGCCCTTGAGATAATGATGGGCACAAGTTTTTGAAGTACAGGCTTCATAGTGGTGTGCTAATATCACATATAAGTCTGCAGTAGAGTTAAGTTGTTTGCAAATAATGGCTATACATGTCTTTGTAGCAGAAGTAATGATAAGTACACCTTCTTAAATTAGTGTGTTGTTATGTAACACTAATGTTGCATCTAAGTTTTTGCACCAGCAGAAATATGCTTATGTAATGGCTGTGGAACTGTTTGCAGCAGATGTAGTAGAGGTAAAACATTTTTTTTACACCATGAGTTTTGTCACATAGCACTATTGTGGTTCATAAGCATCAGCAGTAGAAATAATGTAGCAATCCTGCCAGCAGGATTTTTTGGTGTAGTACTAACTTCGTGGAACCGCTAGCAATGTTAGAAGAAAAAAGTGCATCACTTACAGGCTACACCATGCTGTTAAGCAGTGCTTCGGGTCGCGATTTCAGTTGCCTCTTCTCAGCCTGGTGTTTGTTTTGTTGGCCCTGTCATAAGTTGTCATGTAACTCCTGCATTCATTCCTTTGTTTGTACAGGTTGGATATCTACCGCAAGGTGCCGAAGGATCTGACAAAACCAACGGTTACTGGCGCCATCATATCTGTCTGCTGCTGCTCATTTATGTTCCTGCTGCTGGTGTGTGAGCTGTGGTACTTCATCTCCCCTGAAATGTCAGTATTCCCCATCACCCTGTGTCATTGGCGACATTATGGGATGTCTGCTGGACCAGTCAGATACAAACGAGTCATGCGTTTGTCAGCGTTTTGCTCTAGATGCATACATCGTGAAGCTGGTGTGTGGTAGAGACTGAGCTTTCACAAGACCTGAGTTTGCATGTGCTTTAGTTATGGTGTACTGTGGTGGCAAAACCCTAACACGATCTGGTGGTCGTTGTTGGTCTTTGCAGCAAAAATGTCATAGCTTCCGATTTTTGAAATTTGTGTTATAGATTTCCAATTAACTGCCATGCTGGCTACCAAACATATGCAGCTTTCAAGATCACAGTATGCTTGAGACATAAATCGGAGCCTGTGGATTGCTGAATCATCTGTCTTGTAGATGTCAATGGTCAATATATTTTTGCTCTAATTGCTGAGGTAATTAAAGAAATGAGTCACTCACAATATTCGTTACTCGCATGCATCTAGAATAAATTAAGAGGAGTTTTGTTTGTAAACTCCGTCCATTCGGATATGAAGCGCCTGCCTTCCGATCCACCTGCCTGTGGTGGGGTGGGCTCGAGTCACTTAAGGCGTTCGCTGCTTGCCCTCGAAAGATATGGCCTGCAGCGGCGCTGAACGCCAGATGACGTCAAAGAGCAAGACAGGTCCTGCTGAGTATTGGGGCACGTTAACGTTTCGTCACCGAATTCTGGTCATTAACCTGGAATTGCATGATTTGAGGATGGCGGTCAGGGTTCACAAAATAAGCACTACTGGGCGTGAGCTCTGTTTCCAGAAATTCACTTCACAAAATTTGCATCACTTTATATTTAATAAATCTGTACAAAAACGATTATCCAAAAATTGGATTGAAAATGGCGTGGACAGTCCTTGGTTAGATGATCCGTAACACTGGGAGTGCCATATTAAACAATGATGCTCCAACCACCAACCATTTGCCATTTGAAGGCGTCATTTTGGTCTTGACTGGTTATGCTAGCCTGAAGCCGCTGGCGCTTCTGGAGCGTGGATTTTGTGCGTGGTCCGTCGGTATTCTCCGAGTGGCTTGGCCATCGTCATTCGTCGCATGAACACCGCCACATCCTCAATGGTGTAGCAGTGTTTATGCGGTCAGTATCGAGGCAAGCGTGAGATATGTTGAAATAAGCTCACTTGTAACTACTGGTATGCGTGTAAATGCGGAAAACTGCTCAAGACAACAAAATTTCAACGTTTAGTGGATATGCTTCCCAAGACGTTATCGTTTTATTGCGTTATGGGACCTTTGTATGACGTCTGAAGGGCTGCCAAACTGGCCGTGTGAAATAGTCACCTTATCGGACGACTGACTCAATTGTAGTGCTTCAGCTTCTCGAGAAGCCAGTGTTTACTTGCATTCAAATGCTCGATGGTGGCGCAATTCTTAAGTTGTTGGATTGCAAGTCTTATTTCCGTGATAATTAGTACCGGTGTCAAAACTTCCTGTATTATGTAGCACAAATAAAAGTATTGTTTGAAACTTTTACTGAATGCATAACGTCCGTTGAGAGCCAATTGAAGTCTGTTGTTTTCAGAAATCGTGCTCACACACGTCATGCATCAGCAACTCGACGATTTTAATTGTATTGGCCTTGCGCACCTCATAGCCAGTGAGGTGGCAGGAGTGGAGTGGCGTTTCTATGGCGCCTTGCATGCCTGGGGTGACCTTGAAATAGTCTGTCCAAAAAGATATGTACATCTTCGTGGCCGTGTAGCTCAGAAACTAGGATGTAAATTTTAAGAACCACAGTGTAAATAAATCGGTCGTGTGTTTTTTTCATAGTTGTATAGATGCGATGCAGTCCCGATGATGTGTTCCAGGCGCTTAACAGGGGATGACTGAACTTACCCATGTGTTGCAGAGTATCGGACTTGTTCGTAGATAATCCGGGTGATCATGCAGAGAGAATACCAGTGTTCGTGAAGATTTCATTACCTCGGCTGAAGTGCGAATGTGAGTATGTTTGTTTTGTAGTACCCTGCATCGTACCCACCACGCTATCTGCATTGTGTTCGTCATCACGGTGAAATAAATCGCTGGTTAAATGAGTGCAAACCAGTCTTGTCATGCTTCCATTGGTATTAAAGTGGACATCATGCATCATGTTCACCGCTATCAAGTTGTCAATGTCAAAGCAGCTTCATGATTACTTGACGTCCGCTCGTCGGTGCTTGTAAGAGCTGATAGCTCTTAACCCTTTCATGCACTATTCACATTATCACTGTTTTTCAGATGTTGGTCTTGATATTCAAGATGATCAAGGAAGACATGAAGTGGGATTCGTTGAAAACACGGTCAAAACACCGATTTTGAGTGGAAATGGCTGCTTGTTTGAAGCCAATTTTCTCATCAACAAAGTCCCAGGTGATTCCACGCGCAATATGTCTCATATTCGTTAAGAAAAGAAGTATGCCTCTAATCTGTGTACATTTCAGTTTTAAATAGTGCTTCATGTCCTCTAAAAAAGACATCACGAATGAGGGAAGATCATCAAAAGCTGTCATTTGCATTACATTGCATTGAGTCCATTGCAGCTATGAACCTGGCGGTCCGATGAACGTGATTGCTCTACCTGTTTTATATTTTGTTTTCTCGTCTGGTTCTAGTAACGACATCACGTACTTGAGCTGATGATTCGCCGGTGTAATGCATCGCGATATTTCCGCACCGAGTTGTATCTTGGTGGACATGCTAGTCCAGGCTAACTTGTATCGGTCGTGTCTGTGGTGGCGTACAGACTTCTGCTCGTGCGGGCCCAGGGTCCCAGACCTAGAGGTCTATGGCTCCATCCCTGCCGCAAGAGACTCACCATTCGCGGTTTATATGCGTTATGATGGCGCTAATGCCTGGCAGTTTCATGCTGCGATAGAAACTTAAAACAATGTTTCACATTGAAGACATTGCGAGCATCAGATATAATGCAATAAGCTGACATATAACTATTGATATATGTGTAAGTGAGGTCTGTCTAGACCAAATAATTTTTATATTTAGTAATTGTACATTTCATTACGTCATTGTTTGGTGACGTCATGGAACGTTTGTGTAACGCTAAGGTGCTGCCGAACTGGCCGTATGAAATTACCGCCCTAGCACTCAATTGTAGTACTCAAATCTCCTGATAGGTGGCTGGGCGGTGCTGGAGGTAAACCAAATATTGTTATGTGCTCGTGTGTTGGCCTTTCCGGTTGTTGTGTGTTCTCGCATATTTAGCCGTGGGTTTAAAGTGTTGACTTGTACTCACATGCTCGGTTATGCCTTTGTTCTTAAGGTATTTGATTGTAAGTCTTATTTTTGTAATAACTAGTAACTAGCAAGAACATCCAACTTCTTGTATTACGAAGCACAAAGCCTGGTTTGTGCGATCCGTCCCTCCTATCCTCTATCCTGCTTCATCCTGCATCCTGGCGACACCCCGCTTGTCCGGGGCGGGCTGCATGCGTCAACCACGTCATCCACGGGGCCGAGAGACCCGTGGGAAGGGGGACCCCGACCGGGCACCCAGCGCACATGCGCGGGTTAAGGCTCGGCGGTCGCTCCCCCCCCCCCCCCCCCCCCAGGTGCATGCCAGCTAGCCCCACCATGAACCATTTTCCTTCTCTCATAGCCCGGAAATGTTCATTTCTGGTCGAAAGGGCTCTTATCCAAACAACCACGTGATTCGTGATTGAAATTTGTATAGTCCATGCTATACTGCTGGAGAGTAAACTGACGTGCATTAAATTTGGAAAACGTGCTCATGAACGTCCGCTCTGGACGACTTGTCGATTACACTCTTATTGGCCTTGAACGTCGCTTGACCAGTGGGGTGGCAGGATTAAAACGACGTTGCGTCATGGATGACTAAGTGACCTTGAATTGGTTGCGCGAAATAGTTGCACATCTCCGGATGTGGTTGGATGAGGCATGTGGCTCAGAAACTAAAGGGTTTCAGGTCGTAATAAGGGCATGCTGTGATGTGCACCGGGTGGTCGTAATTGCTGTTGGAAAACCGCCATACAGTTCTGTAATCCAGACCCGTGACTAGCGAAATTGCAACGCTCCTTCCTCCCTGCTAGCCTGATAGCTTTTTGCATCCAGGCTGATCTATAAGAAGTTGACGTGCGGCCTCAATAAAAGCCCTTATGTCTTAATAAGTCTGAAAGCCGTGCTTTCAGCGGGAGGCAAAAGCAAAATACGCGCTGATTGCACCGATGCGACGCTCTTTTCGCGGTGTAGCAGCGTCTGGGAAGCCGTGATAACGTTTGGCCGTTCCTCCAGGCAACTTCCACGTGTCGACCCACTCTGCCGAGGAACAGCCAGATGAGATCGACTTCGCGCACGTGATCCACGAGGTGCGCTTTGGCCGCACGCCCCTGGTGAACGTGCCCGACTCCAGCTTCAACCCGCTGGCCGGCCGAGAGGTGCTCGACAAGACCAGTGAGTGTGGGGGAGGGGGGGGGGGGGGGGCGCAGACCGTGCGCCGCTGACGCCCGGCACCGGGTGGTGGCGCCCGTAGCCGACGGCTGACACATGGCCACGGGTGGTGGGACCTCAGTATTGTTTCCGGGGAATTCTTGGGTCTTGTTGGCCTGCCGCAATTTTCTCTCAAAAGTGCACCGCCGTCTCTTTGTGGTGTAAATCCTTTTTCCGGTCGAAAATAAAAACATGGTTTTGTGTATGACCAGCAGCTAGCCATGTATCAGCTGCCCACAATGTGATCAGACGGGCAGCGAAAGATTGTTTCAGTATTTACCATTGATGATTTATGTGTTTGGGTGTCTGTCAAAGCGTTTCTGGATCATGATGGTCGTAACCAAGCAAACTGGTGCATCCGTCCCCGAAGCTCTCTCGCTGTTTTGACCTTGCCGTCCACGACTATCTCTGCGGTGGCATGTCGACTCGCCGATCATATGCCGGGCACCGACGAAAATTGCGTGACCGGTTTTATATCCCGGTCGTTGGCTGCTGCTGTGCGTTACTTGGTTCGCGCGGGCATCCGCTCTTGCTGGAGTGTCGTGCTCAGTGTTGACCCATCCCTGGCGACCGGTCGTCGCGTGTCAGCCGTCCGCTCCCCCGTCCTGGCTGTGTTCTGTCCGCCTGACCCTCCTCAACTCTCCTCTCCCTGACCTCTCGGCGACCCGTCACGCCCCAGCCTCCGCTGCCGACGGTGACGCGCCGCCTCTGGCGCCGGTTACAGCCATGGAGTCCCACGACTACGTCATGAAGATCGTGCCCACCGTGTACGAGGATATTAGTGGCAACCGGCTCGTCTCATACCAGTACACATACGCGTACAAGGTGAGCCGCTGCCACCGGGTTGTTTTTGGATCGCGTCTACCACAAAGACAGACTTCGCCGACATTGTCATGACGCGATTTTCGACAAATCGCCCACCTCCATCTGCTGCATTAGCTGTTATTTGCTTTGTCTCGGGGAATCTGCCACTGGCGGGCCACAGGGTCGGTTTGCAGCTTCTGACCAACTGCCGGCATCACTCGCGACCTGCGCGGCAGGATATTGTGGGGGATCTCACTCACAAACCGCCTGTCAGGGTACTGATATTGTGATGTTACCTCTGAAGGTGGAGGCTGGCAATCGCCGCCCCGTCCCATGGCGACCCAATGTGTTAGGCTACCATGTGATGTCCGCTGTTTGTATTTGGTTCTAGCTTGAACTGGAAGCGATTTAGACTTGGTGTGAAGATCTTAGGAGTGCATATTGGTATTTGAGGTTTTCATGTGCCTTTGTACGTATGCAAATTATTGAAATGCGTGAGCATTTCTGTTGGCAGGAAACCCATATTTATGCAGTACTTCTCGACCGTGTGTTACCATTCGCATTAGGCCTTCGCTGCTTTACTACATTAACGTGCGCTTGGGTGGGAGTCTTTTTGACCCCTGAAGGATTTTCCAGCATAACTTTTGAAAGGTGTGGTGTAGCCGCATCAAATTTTGTATTGCTTTAAACAGTTGAATGGCCGTTCTTTGAAGAAAAAAATTGAACAAACTGGTAACCGATGGCATATTCGGCATTCTATGCCTGTCCGTGAAGGAAATTTCTAGGGAGTCGCTCAATCCGTTGCGTCAACGAGTATTTGACGAGATCATACATTTTAGAGATCGTTTCTTAGGCAATGATACAATTCGAATTAGGATTATGACTTATTTGATCGATCTTTGGTCATAAATGAAGGTCAGATCAAGGCTAAAACCAAGCCGTCGTACTGCTGGAAGACTTGCAATATTGGAAGTTTTTGACGCCTATTTCTAGTTCCTTGATCAAAAGCACCGATTTGGACTTCATGCAGGTCAGACGAGGTAACTGGTTTAAATGGCCCCGGTCAGCTTTGTAGCTTCGAGGAACATGGCGCCAAATGTAATTGTTGACGCCGATTTTAAGTTGAAGGATCAAGACGGTCTCGAGAGGTTTTGACTATCTTGACCTTTTCAAGGAAAAAATAAGGTCACGGAACTGATACGAGCACCATTGACGTTTTACTTTTAAATCTATCGGGGCTAGAGCTGGTTGCGTGAGGTCAGGGGACACTTCCGACACTAATCTCGAATTTGACATAGTTTGACCTTTTGCCCCGAAGGTCACGACCAAGGAACCTCAAAATTTGACACGAGAGTTCCCGTAGCCGTACCTGTCCTGTGAATTCGGTGTCTCTAGCCGTCAGTTTCTATGGTCTTTGGGGTCAAGTTGACTGCACTTACCCACGCGCGTCGCACCCAACCAGCCACCCGGCGGGCACGTGTTAAGAGGCTGTACCTAACACAACAGGTGTCTTTGCAGACTTACATCTCCTTCAGCCCGATGGGCCGTTTCATTCCCGCCATCTGGTTCAAATACGACCTGAATCCGATCACGGTGCGATACCACGAAAAGCGGCCTCCATTCTACACTTTCATCACGACGGTGAGTCAGCTGAGGCAGCCGCCGCCGGCCGTTGCCTGGCAACGCCGAGCCGCCGCGAGTGGTTCGAGTACACCGCAGCGGCGGCGCCAGAGCGCCGGGTCACTTCTGTGGCACGGGCGGCGTTTGTGGGGAGTAGGACACTTCGAGCCGTGTCAGACCTCGGCTTGGCGGTGGTCCGCGTCTCAGGGAGTGTCAGTGTTCCGCGGTCGTGGGTGTTTGGCAATGTGTCTGGTGACGAACTGCCGTAAAGTATTTGGCGTCATGAATGAGATGGGCTAAAGGGGACCTCAAGGATCGCGGTGTACCTGCTGGTCCTCTGGAATTGGATGACGACACTCCTCTGGGCTCGGCAGGTGTGTGCAATTGTGGGCGGCACGTTCACGGTGGCCGGCATCATCGACTCGGCCATCTTCACCGCCTCCGAGATGTTCAAGAAGTTCGAGATCGGCAAACTGACGTAACACCGGGCGGGCATTGATTAGCCGGATCCGTCTTCCATCCAACAGGAGCACGATCTGAATTTTGTACGTTCATTCATTTGTGCCGCTGTTGAACATCGAATGCATTACCCGTTGCTATTAGCTGACGGCGATTTCGCCCCGGATAAGCTGAAGGGAACACCTGAACACCACGGTAACCAACAGCCAGCGCAGTTGCGGACATTCGGGTACTTGTTGGGAGGACACTGGCCTGTCCCAGATGATATATTTTATTACATTAGCTTTCAAGAATGCCTTCCACAGATATGGTGTCAGTGTGTGGCATCACGTAGGCCAACATTTCCGGGCGCTGCAAACTGCCCCTAATTTCGCAATGTGGTAACGACTCTGCGTATCACAATCTCGCGCCGTGCGTTCCTGTCCAGAGCCATTCCGATTTTTTTGTCTCCAGAAAGTGCGTCTTGCAAGCTGTCAGTGACGGATTTTCTCTCTGCGGCAGGCAAAACATTGTTGCTGCTAGTGTGCTGTATCCAGTATGCGATATTAGGCCATGCCCCAGCGCTGGTAAGGCAACATGGTGTACATGTGTGTGGATCGCCGGTCGTTTGGGTAATAGTGCTGTTGAATTGGGCTGGGGCGTTGTGTGTGGTTGGTTACTGTTGTGTTTGTTGGCAAGAACGTTTTGAGCACTGTTATGTTGCGTTGAATGTTTTACGTTGTCGCGTTGGCACCCAGGGGCTGAAAAAATAGCGTCCGTTTCTATCACGGATACGACTTTGAGTGTGCCGTTGTTTTTTTTTTTTGTGCGGGTGGCCCTTGCCGAGGTGCGCAGCAACCAGGAGCCATCCACGTCGTAGCGTTTGCAACGCAGCGAGCGCAGCTTTGTAAAGCCAGTCCAGGCAAAGGAGGCATTAGAACGAGCGAACCACACTGCTGCTTAAGCCGGCCGCGCAGACTGGTCGGTCGCAGGGCGCGCTCTAACACAGGCGGGTCGTCAGGGAGGGACGACCTATGCTCGGGGGAGGAGAAAACTGGTTCAAAGGGACAATGTCGCGTGTTGTCCGTCCCCGTTTTCGTCTTACGCGCTCGGGTGGTGGGTCAGGTTGACCCCCCACGGAAGGTTCTCCACAATGGTTGCCGAACGGCGCGGCGTAGCAGCGCCAGTCTAGACACCTGAACAGCGGATCGTTTGGTGTACAAATTTAGATGTACTTTGTAAGGTCGCTGACGTATGACAGCTCAAAGTGAAGCCATGGTTTCAGTGAAGTCATTTTCTAGGGAATCGTTCAACCTGATGCAACAACGGAGTGTTATGCGAAACCATACATCTCGGACTTTCTTAGGCAGCACAATAATTGAATGAACAAAATGCATTGACCTAGGGGCGGGTAAGGTTAGACCAAGGTTGAAACCAATCTGTTGTATTACTCCAGGGCCTGATGGGTGGGGTAGTTTCTGGTGCCCATTTTGAATTTTTTGTTAATAGGAACTGAATTATGCATCTTGGATTGACTTCTTCAAGGTCGGAATAGTTCACTGACTTAAGATTACCCAGGTCAGCATTTTGCTTCCAGGAGCACATCGCCTAGCGTGGCATTTGTCACCTATTCAAATGCAAAACTCGAAGCAGTCTTGTATGGTTTTAGTCACTATGACCTTCAAAAGGTCAAACAAGGCCACTGGCCGTACATGATAAGGTTCTGGGAACAGTGGAGAGCAACCTGGAGTCGGACCTTGTTTGGCCTTATTCGACCTAGGAACCTCTAACTCTGACCTAAGTGAGCTCACGCACAGGTCGGTACATCCTGAATTTGGTGTCTAGCCTAGCTTAGTTCCTGAGATCCCAAGTGGTCAAACTGACCCCCAACCGGGTAAAGGGTATCCAACCGGCCACCCGGGCGCGTGTTAATGCATTCACTCTCTTATTTTCGTCAGGTATCGAAACCGTCCTTCGAATCGATTTGATTGGCAAGAACCGCATTAAATATTATCTCGGACGCGCCGGGCCCCACTCGGATACCTAAAATGCAATAACCACGGGTACGCCTACCAAGATTACAGCCCGGGTCTGTGAAACTTGCCCCACATGCAAAATATCCAGTGGTGCCTTGCGCTGCGTTGAAACGTTAACTAGTTTAGTTTACATTGTATTCGTAGTTGTCAACACAGTCAATGCATGGTTGTTCCTTCATCATTTACTTCTCAGCACGTAACCACTCTTCGGCGCGTCTTAACACTTACGGACCTTTGTCAAAATAGATGCCTAGTAAACATGTGCTGGAATTCCCAGTGTGTGGGGACTGGAATGTCTACGCAATGGCACATAAAACGTCGCATACACGTACATTAAGTCGATAGACATCGCTGGCACATTGCGCAGCGGTATGCACATTACCGGTCACACCGCAGACTAGAAGCTGATGTCAGAATCGACGCCGGCAACAGCTAGGCGCAGCTGCCACTCGGATGCCGCGGGAGGCGTGTTCTTCGAGGGCACGTTGTCAGCAGATATGTCGCTGATGGACGCCATGATTTTGGCAAAGTACGGTCGTGGTTACTGCCAGCACAAGTGAGCGCGAACAGCTTTCGGAAGGCTCCCCGGTACAGACAATAATGAGGGGAGCGCTCGGACCGCGGCAGCCTCCTGCTTTGCCGGTCCAAGATAGACTCATTCACTGCCATGACGTTGTCGCGACATGGTCCGCATAACTGGTCCCCCTCTTCAGCCCGGGAATGAAACTGACTGACGGTGCCTAAGTGTATCTGCCTGCACAGAATGTGTTTAAACGGTTTAAGCTGCCAAAAGGCGACAGTGTGCCGACGGGAAGGCGAATGGCGGTGCGCATGCGCATGCGGGCTCCTCTCGAAGAGCTCCGCCTTCAGTACAGCTTATAAGGGTGGCAGCGCTCCCACCGCACAGTGCCGACAGCGAGCGTCACAGCGCAGCCCACTGACACATAAGCCGCGTGCAGCCCGGGCCGCGCGGTCTTCGCCAGCCGGCCGGCCGTGCAGGGGCCAGCTCCGATGCCACGGACAGGCGTAGGTCGGAGGGCGACAAACACTATTTGGCATCGGTTCACACATGTCAGTGACTGACCGCCCCGTCAGAAACCGACAGGAGTACGATCTGAATCGTTCGCATCGGTGACTCCGGGTCAGTCGGTGTCCGGGTCCGAGTTCGGGCCGGTGAATCAGAGCTTAGTAGAGCTCAGTTCCTGTTCAACCTTGCATGTCGCTTGCGCCCAGGCCCCTTCACTGGGTCGTGTCATTCCAACTCGACAGGCTATTTGGCCTCCGGCATCTTGCCACACGATAGAGAGACGAGATCATTTCGTGCAGTGCCGACAGTGAACACCGTCTGCCCTCCCTGGGACTGTAACGCCGTGCCGGTGACCGATAGTAGCAATCCTATCCCATCGGCTACAGGAACGGCAGTCACAGGAACGGATGGCTCTGGGTTCTGGTGAAGACATCCAATCAGCTGTCTCGCACGCGCCGTCACGTTCAGACTGCTGTCCTCGGCGAGCCGCGGCCGGCCTGACCGCTCTCTGGGCAACCGGTCCAGGGGCACGAGCGGCACCACAGTACGCCACCTCCGAGAGACATCCTTTGAGACCATGGCTGCTGGCTGGTCTGGCCAGCTGTTGTCACGGTTACTGGCTGCGGGCGTCACACGGGCGTCGCCAGGCGGTTGCAGGTTCCGCGAGAAAAATCGGTGGCTGCGGCTGCAGGCCCCACGAGCCGAGGTGGTACCGGCGGCTACAGGTCCCACGAGAACAGGTGGTGCTTGACCAGCATGTCCTGCACGCCCTCGCGCAGCGGCTGCTGGCGGTTTTTCTTAGCCGGCAGTTCCCAGTCCGGGTTTAGTCGAAACGAGAACTGGGCCAACACGCGCAGCTCACACTTCACCTGAAAAACGAACTCCAGTTCACGGCAACACCCGCCAGCCGACATCAGCGCGTTGACAACGCCATCATAAAACAAAGCGCAGCAGAGCATGACCTACACAGCGACCAGAAAGGTCATCAAAACGACACTCAAGCCGACGCCTGAGCCAGCCGCGACCACTGCTGAAACAGCAGGGCTGGCGCCACCGATGCCGCCGTTCCACCAGATGCTGACCTGCACCCAGCCGGGACTGCTGATGAAGGACCACGGATGGTACCACTTCTGCACGACGGCCGCGTTGGAGCAGATGGCCTCCAGCCAGAGGTGCAGCACCTGCTCGTTCAGGCCGAGGCAGATGAGCGAGCGCAGCTTGACGTCCATCTGGGCGTGCATCCTGTCGTGCGTCAGGTTCACCGCCTCCACGCAGCGGTACAGCAGCTGCGGCAGAGGATGGAGGCGGTCTGCACCGTTTCAGGAGCGCACCGCCGGCACAGCGGTCGCAGCGGGGCGGCGGCCGAGGCGCCTGCGGGCCACCGTCGGCGTCCGCTACACCGCTGCCCAGCGGGTCGTGTTAGTGGTTGGGTACAACGGCGCACCTGAGCACAATTCGGCTTCATTTGGGCACAAAACATCGTCAACAACATAAGATTGCGCTCGAACGTGATCTCCTCTTCACTTCTACTCGCGGTGCGTTGCAATGTTCGTCCCTTTGTTTCAAACCAATCCGTGCAGAAGGTAAGTACCCGGGAAAATTCACAGTTGTCACACCTTATTTTCATAGTGAAGAGAAACGTCGTGGTGTTGTAGAAGTAACAATCTCAGCATACAATGCCGCCAAGTTTCATACAAAAATAGCATTCATATTACGTTAAGCTACAAAAGGTATTGTGAAAACGTGGTCCAGTACAATCGCTGACAAAGGCAAGCTGATGGCATTGAATACAGCAACAAACACCTCATCAGCGGGTGTTCACGTTAACAATATTGGTATCCTTGCGTTTAACATCGAGTATGAGATGTCATGCCTGTGTGCACTCGCCCACAGTCTGGTACGGGTAGCAAACGCTACAACGGCTAGCGAATACTATCAGGCGCTGCCGAGCCGGGCCTGAGAACCCATACCTCTTCGGGCGAGAGCACCTTGCCGTCCTCGTCGAGCCGGTACGTCTTACAGAGGACCAGTCGGCTGTACACCGAGTTGTAGTCGCGCTCCACCTCCTTGTGGGCCACCTCCTCGATGAAGAGCCACGGATGGCACACGCTGCCTGCAGCAGCGCCACACTGCGGCGTCATCGCCTGCCCGCCCACCCGGCCGGCCGTGCCGTGGAGCGACGCGCGCGGAGCCAGATCTCGCCTCACGGACACAGCCAGCGTACACCCCCGGTGGCCGCTGCTCGGATAACGCGGCGAGGGACGTATGGAATGCGTTGCGTAATACGGTTGGGTGACACCCGGGGAAGTGAAGGCCGGGCCCGGTTTTTCTTTGGCGTGCTGCACCAAAACTGCGACGAATACGGCCGGCGTAACGCATTAGGTTCTATTCACGCGCACATGGAGTACTGAGGAAGCTGTAAGTAGCAATGAAGCTCAACTAAATTTTCAGCTTGCACCAGAAGTAAGGCAGCGATCGCACAAACCCGTAAAACTATGCGCGGTTGCGTGAATGGCAGCCACATTGCGCACAATGATGGGGGCACATGAAGAAAAGCCGGCAGATGTTTAGAAAACGACATTTCGAAAGTTTCACGTGAATAAACCCTGCTGACCTGTAATGTTAATGATGCTGATGCTACGCGTCCCACCAAGCACAGGATCATCAGTTATCGTCAGCAGGCATGTGCCGCAAATTTCTGACTACACATATCAGCGTACCTCACACCTCTCAACGCAGTGTCGTTCACGCTCAGAACCTGCGTACCCATTGTGTCTTGCCGTGTGTGCGGCGCCTCACCGAGGATCATGGGTCGTCGCATGCCGTGCTCCAGGATCTGCTTCAGAGTGGCGCAGAGCGAACCGCGCACCAGGTGCGTCACGCCCTCCGTCACGCTGTCGTCACCGGCCGAGCTGAGGACACGACACCGCACGTCACCATACCGTCCCGCCAGGACAGCACCGACCACACCACACCGTCGTCATCAGCCGAGTTAAGGATCACGACACCGCACGCACGTACCCGCCACGAGCGCGCCGGGACGGTCGCGCCGCTCACCTATACAGCTTGCTGCGCTCGTCCAGCAGGTCGACGAACTTGGCCGGGAACCAGCCGCGCAGCCCGTTCAGCTCCCCGACCCAGCAGTGCTCGTCGCGCATGCTCAGCACCGTGATCACATCGTTCTTGCGGAAGCCGAGCTCGTCGTCGTCGTGCCGCTCAAAGTCTGCAGACGGTTCAGGGCCGCCCGTTAGTGGGAGAGAACGGAAGTGAGGAAGAGAGGAACGGGATGAGAGAGAGAATGCCCGCGAGAGAGAGAGGAGAGAGAGAGAGAGAGAGAGAGAGAGAGAGAGATAGGAGAGAGAGAGAGAGAGAGAGAGAGAGAGAGAGAGGAGAGAGAGGAGAGAGAGAGGAGAGAGAGAGAGAGAGAGAGAGAGAGAGAGGAGAGAGGAGAGGAGAGAGAGAGAGAGAGAGAGGAGAGAGAGAGAGGAGAGAGAGAGAGAGAGAGAGAGAGAGAGAGAGAGAGAGGAGAGAGAGAGAGAGAGAGAGAGAGAGAGAGAGAGAGAGAGAGAGAGAGAAGGAGAGAGGAGAGAGGGAGAGGGAAGAGGGAAGAGAGAGAGAAGAGAGAGAGAGAGAGAGAGAGAGAGAGAGAGAGAGAGAGAGAGAGAGAGAGAGAGAGAGAGAGAGAGAGAGAGAGAGAGAGAGAGAGAGAGAGAGAGAGAGAGAGAGAGAGAGAGAGAGAGAGAGAGAGAGAGAGAGAGAGAAGAGAGAGAGAGGAATGAAGAGGGAGAAAGGGGAGGGGGAGAAGGAGCAAAAGGCAAAGCGGAAATCACATCCAAGTATGCCAAACTGTTTTCTAAAACGACGACTGATCCGCACTCGGGCCGACTGACACAAACACAAGACAAAGTCATATGATAGGCGTGCAGTGCCCGTCATGGACAGCGTGCATCTGCTTTGGCATGCAAAGCACCACGCATCATGACATCACGACATCACGACACAAACCACATGTACGTGGCCAGCGCTGTCTACTGTCCGCCCCCCCCCCCCCCCACACTGTTCACTGTCCGCCTCCCACTGCTCACTGTCCACCTCCCACTGTCCACTGTCCGCCTCCCACTGCCCACTGTCCGCCTCCCACTGTCCACTATCCGCGTCCCATTGCCACGCATTTCCAGCGCCAGAGCTTACCGAGCAGCGCCTTGGCTCTGCGCTGCTTCTTGCTAGACACGCTGACGAAGGCGTCGTGGTCGTGCGCGTGCGACTCCATGCTGTAGTCGGGCACCAGGCTGACCTGGCCCAGCTCGGGGTCCACCGACTGGAAGTGCTGGCCCAGCTGCTGAATCGACTCGCGCAGGTCCACCAGAATCTCTGCCGGCACGCCGACCGGCCGGCTCAATGTGTAGCTCAATACATGTTGCGAGCATAGCGATGCGCATGACACGCATTAAACAGGAGGATGCTCAGCATGGTTTTCAAGGCGATGCAATCCTTGATGGTCAGCGGAGGTGGTTGAGCACGGTGCTGAGCAGCGACGTAGCCAAGGCGGGGATTCTGGCCCCCCCCCCCCCCCCCCCCCCCCCCCCCCCCCCCCTGTAGGTGGAGGAGGCCGTAGTCCTTTTTGACAAGTCAGGAGCCCATTGCGTCTAAAATATCAAAAATGGACTCTACAGGCATCAAAATGTTAGGCTGCTGCCAAACATAGAAAGGTGACATCGTGCCTAAAAATCCCTCGACAGGGTCACTATAGCGACGGGGTAAGAGGCCCTCTTAGCTGAAAGGGTCCCATTTGTCCCGATGTGGACCCTCCTAGGCGAATATCCTGGCTACGCCACTAGTGCTGAGCTCTTGTCTAACAGCAGGCAAGCACCCCTCGCGCGTAACCGCAGATCGCGTGACAATCCAGGATAACACGCCCTGACATCACCCACACCACCAAAAGTCCCGCCTTTCAGGCCCGCGGTCTGCGCCGCGCGACACTGAACGCCGGTAGCCTGCTCATGAGCGTCAGGTGCACCGCCGGTCGGCCTGAACCGCCTCTGCTCGGCGGATCAGCCACGGTCGGCGCGGTCCGGCTGTCACCAGGCCCGCCCGCGTCCGGCCACCCACCTGTCTGTCGCACGTTCTTGGTCTTGGCGTCGTCCGCGGACGTTTCGTCACCGAACAGGATGACCGAGATCATGGACTTGCTGCGTCGCATCTGCCGCCTGTCGGCGGGCGGACCCGGCGGTCAGCGCGTCCGGACGGGGCGTCACGGCGGGACACGCCATCCCCACAGCCGACTCAGGACGACAGCAGGGACACCAGCCGTCAACGCGTCAGGACGAGGCGCCACGGCGGGCACGCCACCCCACAGCCGACTCAGGACAAAAAGTAGGGAGGGGTCGCAGGCATCAGCGGGACAGGCCCGACCGTCCCACCCAGGGTGTCGCGATCCACTCTCGGGTCGGGCCTCATCAGAACTCGGCTGACACTGACGGCATGATGCTATCAAAAGCGGGTCCCGATTATGTGCGAACTTCAAATTTATAGCGGTGGACGCCTGGGTGAGCGAGAGAGCCTAACACTCACACCGACAAAAATCGGCAAAATTATAAAATTAATCGGCAGGCTGATCCACACAATCAGCGTTATACGTTTGAAGGGCCTTCACTCCAACATGTTTTGGAGACAAAAACAACGCCCGTTTACGATTATTCGGGCATTGCTAGATATTTTGAGCCCTAAACGAAAAAGTCAGGCAGTGACAGGTAGTCACTGGCGGTGGCTTAGCTCCCAACTTCAGGTCTGGGGGACATATCTTCCGAGGGTAAACAGCAGAAGCATCCGGCCGATGGATCCTTGCCTCTAAGAGCATCCAACAACAGGGTCGCGACGTATACATCAGCTTGGTGCAGGACTGTACGCAGCGACCGTCACGTGGTGGTCATCTCCTCGTGTCCACGCTGAGTGAGCACGCCCGGAGCGAACGCATCGCCAGACAGCGAGGTGACACGCCTTCCATGGCAGTCTCTCCTACGTTCGGATCCATAGCAATGCGCCCTATATGAAGGCATTTCTGCTAGCTTTGCGAAAGAATGTGCAGACAAGGTACAGTCGTCCAAACACTGGGTCGGGCAAAATGAGCGATAGACTGGGTCGATCTATCTTGTGAGGTGGACTTCCGGCGCGCGCGACGAGCTCTGCTTAACAAGAGCTCTGAGCCCAAAGCCCTTCACGTAAATCATTCGAAATACAGAAATGCAAAATCCGTAGAAGCCACTCGAAATACTTAGCATGCATACTTCCACAACCCGGTCACATTACTCTATAAATAGCTTCAACAACCGAACCACATTACACCTTGGACAATCACCCAATCACTATGGGATGGCAAAGACTTTGCCAATTCACTCTAAGATGTCGACCAGTCTGTGCGCGGCACGTACTTCACGAGGACGGACGAGATGCTGGCCCACGTGCCTGCCGACATCAGCGGAAAGTCGCGATTGGAGCCGACCTGGCCGAACAGGTGGCCGGCCGGCACGCAGCACCAGGTGCGCAGGCTCAGGCTCAGCACGTACACCACGCTGCGCTCCTGGCGTAGGCCGGAGCGGCCGAGGCGGGCGCGACGGCCCTCCAGACCCTGGGCGCGCCGGCCGGACGGCTGGCGGCGCAGCTGGCGCTGCTGCTGCACGAGGCGGCGCTGGTGCGCGGCTGGCGGCGCCAGCTCCGAGGTCAGGCCGAGCCGGCCGGTCAGCTCGTGGGCAGCGTCGACCGGCGCCGCCGCCGCCGCCGGGTGCGGGTTAAACAGCGGCGCGTCCGGGTCCAGCGGCGCCTGCAGCGTCTGCACGGCGCAGAGCCGGTAGCGCTCCGAGCCGACGGCGCCCGCCCGCGCCGCCGCCACGCGCTCCTCGGCGTCCGGTGCCGCGTCGGCCGCGTCGGGCTCGACGTGCTGCGGCCGGCGCGCGGCCGAGGCCGGCCGGTGCCAGGTCACCGACGCCGCCCGCAGCGGACGGGCCCCGCACGCCGAGCACCGGCACAGGCCGAGCCGGGCGCGCCGCTCCGGCCCGTCGGCGGCCGCCAGCAGCTCCAGCCACTCCATCGCCAGCGGGGGAGCGCCGACCGCACCGCCGGGCGCCACGCCGCGCACTGGAGGCCGCCGACGGCGGCGGCGGCGGCGGCGGCGGGGGTCGGCCCGCTGACAGGTGTGAATCGGTGCGAAAGTTCAGACGGGCGTCGCGCCACCCAGGCCTATCGATCATCGGGCCCGGCCGCTTCCCGCGCCAGTTCGGCAGACGCCGCAGCGCGTGCCGCTACCTGATCAGGCAGGCTCCGCCCCATGCTGACGTGCGCCACATCAGGATTATTTTATCCAGCCGATCCTCAGAGGTTCTCACTGGCGTCACGCCAGGCAAACCAGCGAGCCATCGACAGAGGACTGCTTACTTCTGACCGGCCGAATCACTCCATGTATGCAGCGGGCAGCTTAGATGTTCGACCCAACAGTACCACCGTCGGCACAGGAATCGCGCGGCTGCAGCTAGTATGAATGACTAGCGGGTACACTAACGCTTACGGAAAGCCGCGAATTTAAATGGCGACTGATCTACTTCAACGCACGCGGAACGGACCTTCATTAAACTCCGTATTTTTCCTCGCTGCTTTCAGCGCGTAAATGCTTACACACTGTTCGCCCTAACGCTAGGAAATAAAATACTGCTGCTATGCAGTCAACTAACAGTAGGACAACGTACCATATTCTTGACTGACCAATTCCTTCAAACAACACTCACAACAGGCAGCGCATCGCGCAGCGAGTGCCGAGAGGCGGGGGGGGGGGGGGGGGGCGGTGAAGTGCAGAGATCGATTCAAGGCCAGACGACTAACCCGTAACGTGAACTGAATGCCGACGCCCGGTCTACCTACTGCGTCTGCGCACGCCCCTCGACGGCGGCTGGTTATAATCAGACGCGACCCAGCCCCTCGCTGCCGGCTCCTGTGGCCGCTGTCCGCGACTGAGGAGCGGCCTGTACAGAGCCGACTGTCCGTGATCGTTCACGGGCGTGCTCGGACGCGGCGGGGACCGGCCTGGGCCGCACACCCGCAGCAATGACTCACAGCCAGTGGCAGCCAACACGACAGGCGCGGGATGTCGGACAATGTGCGTGTCGCGGCGCTTCACGGCAAAGGGTCAGGGCTGACAGACTGAGGACACGGCCCGAGGCGGGGAAAAGAGCTGCTGTCGTCAAAGCGCCCTACAGACCGGATGTACATGTACACGTTCCACGCATTTCCACGTTATGTGTCTTTTTAGAGAAAGTATTACCGCCCGTAATTTAACATGCTGCGCACCAACAGTGTATACGCCACCAGCGCCGATTTAGTGATCTAGTCGGTTCATTGGCCTTCATCTTTCCACTTGAACGCATGATGGCCCTTTCTCGCCACCGACGCCAACAGTTTGGTGCGTCAGCCCGTCGGCGCCTGTCGCCGGCGAGGGCGGTCGGCGGCCGTAGGTGCACAGCCAAGCCTGTCGGCCCCTGTCGCCGGCGAGGGCGGTCGGCGGCCGTAGGCGCACAGCCAAGGCCACAGGCGGGCGAAGAAAACGCGCGCCGACGGGCCCGACGGCACGTGTTCATTTGTTATTACGGCCGCCCCCGGAGCACAGGTGTGTGCGCAGCAGCGGCGCCCAGACGGGACGAGCTGAGGGTGGGGCGGCGGCCGGGCACCCCCGCAGGGTGTACCGGGGCAATAGGGGCCTGCCGCTGGTCCGCTCCACTCTCCACCCGCTCCACTCCACTGCACTTCACCATCGCGAGTCGACTCCTCCACGGTTGGATCACTCCATTCTGCAGTCTGCTCCGAGTGAGCGACTCGCTCCAATCCTCCGAGGAGAGCGCGGTTCTCTCCAGGCAAGGCGCGTGGAACTGTTGTGTTTGCCCATTCAGTCAGCACTGTCGGCAGTTGAAGACTGCCACGCGCTCCTCGCATCAAAACAATGCAGCTCTTTCCGTCAGTCTGATCTACTACCCAACTCACATACATACATCCTGTCTTGTCCACACCAGCAGTTCAAGTCTGAAAGATACTTACTTGGCTTTTTAGAAATATGTATTTCCTACATGTTGTTCTACTGTGCATGAGGGCGTGTCACGAACGCCTCTCGCACAATCACGGAGAGCATAGCATGCCAGTCTTGTTTAATTCTGATGTCCGCAGCTGATTCTAATGATAAATCAAGACAGCGAGCCATCGGATCAGCGTACATATAGCGAAGTGGTGCCCGGTTCTTGACATGGACCCCTTCTCAGCTCTTAAACCATAGCCCATAAAAGTATAACAGGACATGCCAAAGAGATGCAACTGAGATCGTATCACGTTGTGTCTCTACTACATATTCCACAAAATGCGGCCGCATGCGTTTCCCGACGACACCAAAGTAGCGAGGGGCAACTGAGATGGATTGCACCATCGCATTATCATGACCATCTTGAAAGCGTCGAAACAATGAACGGGTCAAGCTCTGTAATGGTGCAGTAAAACACCCTGGCTTTCTTCGGTCTCACGGACCACATGTGTATAACTGCAGAACTGCAATACACCAAAGCATGTATAAATGGCGAGAATGCACTGGGAAAGCAGGGCGTCGACTTAAACCATATAGCAACCCTCAAATCAAGTTAGTCTTAGCCATGCAGAGCATTCACAGCACATTACGTAGCCAGCTTTATAACCCTGACCCTGTAACTCCATTACTTCAAAACTTGAATCTCAAATGGCATTGAGTACAAATGTGAACAGACGCACACAACACATGCCCGAGGGAAAAATCGAAAAAAAAACTGTCAACACAGTTAAAAGGCGCCAATCAAGCTGAATTTGCACTGTGAACGGTATGTCAACAATAGGCGGCAAAATTGCGTACTGACTGCAATGTTCACTACCCCACGAATGATGGTTTAACCGAACTGGCGTAGTGATTCCTCCTCGTGTGTGCTGGACTAAATGGCATTATGATAAAACCAATCTGTGCGAACATAATCTCCAAAATATACGACCACAGCGCCCGACTGTGCAGTGGCGGCCTCTGGCATGTGAGTGCCAGTCTGACATGTGTGACCCAAGTCTCTGACCTGTGCGATGGCGGCCTCTGGCATGTGAGTGCCAGTCTGACATGTATGACCCAAGCCTCTGACCTGTGCGATGGCGGCCTCTGGCATGTGTGTCAGTCTGACATGTGTGACCCAAGTCTCTGACCTGTGCGATGGCGGCCTCTGGCATGTGTGTCAGTCTGACATGTATGACCCAAGCCTCTGACCTGTGCGACGGCGGTCTCTGGTATGTGTGCCAGTCTGACATGTGTGACCCACGTCTCTGACAAGCGACGGCGGCCTCTGGCATGTGTAAGCCAGTCTGACATGTGTGACCCAAGTCTCTGACCTGTGCGATGGCGGCCTCTGGCATGTGAGTGCCAGTCTGACATGTTTGACCCAAGCCTCTGACCTGTGCGACGGCGGTCTCTGGTATGTGTGCCAGTCTGACATGTGTGACCCAAGTCTCTGACCTGTGCGATGGCGGCCTCTGGCATGTGTGTTCCAGTCTGACATGTGTGACCCAAGTCTTTGACCTGTGCGACGGCGGCCTCTGGCATGTATGTCAGTCTGACAAGTGTGACCCACGTCTCTGACAAGCGACGGCGGCCTCTGGCATGTGTGCCAGTCTGACATGTGTGACCCACGTCTCTGACAAGCGACGGCGGCCTCTGGCATGTGTAAGCCAGTCTGACATGTGTGACCTAAGTCTCTGACCTGTGCGACGGCGGCCTTTGGCATGTGAGTGCCAGTCTGAAATGTGTGATGCTAGCCTCTGACCTGCGCAACGACAGCCTCTCATATGCATGCACGTTAGATTGTTGACCTAACGACGGCCTATGCCGTAAGTGATGTTGGTTTCCAACCTGTATCATGGCAGCTCTCCCCGGCACGAGTGATGCCAGCCTTTGGTTTGAGTGACGAGTTTGGTTTGAGAGGATCAGTTCCCTCCCGTGTGAAGCTATGTCTGCCCTGTGGGCACATATCTCTGTCCCGATGTAACTAGCCTGTAAGCAGTCACCTCTCCGACCTGTACAAGTAGCCGTGATCTGACCGGCAAGTCACGTGTGCGACCACATCCTCACTGAGTGCGCCTGTCCCTGACCACTGCGACTACAGACCTCGCCTGTGCGACTGCAAACTCCGACCCATGCCACCCCAGGCCCTGCGCCGCGAGCGGCTGACCTCGTCACGACCGTGCCTGACCTGTTGACCTGCTGTTTGGGCAGGCTGACGGAGCGGCTGGGGCTGCCGGACAGCGCACCCTGGTCTGTCATGACGAGCGCCAGGTGGCGCCGCCTGTGCGACTCCACCACCACCTCCGTCAGCGACGAGCTCACGTGGAACGAGACCTTGGAGCGGACCGGCCGGCCAGGCACCGTTAGTAGGCTCGTTCGCTGCCCTGCCCGCCGGGGTTAGTGGCGCCGCCACACACACGCGCGCACACACACACACAGCGCGCACCGCCCGCGGCCGACAGGTGCAAGCACTGCTGGCAGATTAGTCAGGCAATCAGAAGCGTTAGAGCCGAGTGCTGGTAAGCTACGATGTAGGAGACCCGACTCACCGGGTAATGGCTGTCGGGAATGCCTGATTCAGATATTTTAGGTCTTTTTTTACTGATGTGCACCGCGCAGTTTGTAGCCCGCTGTGTCCAGTGGGAACACTTCTTCAGCTGAGCAGCTCATACCAGAGTCATATAGAAACATTCCACTGACCGCCCGTGTCTGTTCTAAATGACTTACGCTTTATCTAATTCTGGCAGCAGGATAAACCGAACCTACAATCAAAACTAGCCACTCACCAACACCAGCTCGATGCAAACATTATACAAGTCCCAGCTGTGTTGACATGCTTTTTCCTTCCTACTGTTAGTACCCACCACCAATCGTGACTGCTCTGAGCGAGATCACTTTCAAGGTGATGAGCATCGTAGATTCCCCTCCACCAAATATGAAAACACAATGGCATCGAACCCAGATCACTGTAAACGAACTGTCGTCGATGACAGTCATGCATTATGCAAATATAAAAATGTCGTGAGTCAACAGAGCGTGCAGAATCAGCCGCACCCCTCGCATGATCCAAGCGTCCGCCTACCTCCAGCAGCGCTTCGACGTCATCAATCGTCCCAGGGATGTCCGACAGCGCGTTGAAAATGTCTGCCGAGTTGTCCAGCTTACAAAGCTCCGATTCTAAAAGCGAAGACAAGGACGTCTAAGCATTCAGTTGAAAGCAATGCTTTTCATTGTTCCCGGTAAAATAATTAAGCGTAAAATTCCAGGGCAGTTTTCATGCCAGAAACCAAGTCACAAATTGACATTACCAGCCGGTGACCAAAACCTTCAATGGACCAAAACATTGTACGCACTCTCATTTCACAAACACCAATAGCTCCCTTTATAACTGGGAATGGCAACAACTGCATGACTGAATGAAGCCGTCCATCCAGCACCCTGCAGTGATCCAGAGTGGAGGGGGGGGGGGGGAGGGCCAGTGCATGAGCCGACACCTCACCTCTCATCCGCAGCATGCCGAGCGCCACCTGGAAGATCACGATGGCGCCGTGGTAGAAGAAGAGGTCCCAGACGCGCAGCAAGATGCGCACGTGCAGCACCGACGCGAACACGGTCAGGAACCAGTTGAGCGTGATGAGCGAGAGCTCGATGTCGTGCTGCTCCAGCAGGGCGTTCAGGTCCGGCAGGTAGGTGGCGATCAGCGCCGAGAGCACCCGCTGGTCCGCCTGGATCCCTGAACACGCACGGGACGCCCCGTCAGGTGCCGGAAGTGTGGGACGGTTTGCCTGGATCCCTCACTGGAGAGAGCCGCCGTGAGCGTCGACAGTGCCAGCTGGTCCTCGGGATCCCAGCACGAAGAAAACACATCGCTGGTGTGGACAGCAAGTGCTGGTGCGCCCAGACCCCGGGCACAGAGAGCATGCACATCATCAGCGCCGGAAGCATCCAATGGTCAACCCGCAGCCCTCATGAAAAAGTCACGTCGCCACGGCCGGGCATCCATCTAGTCCGTCTGGAGCCCTGTGCGCTCCGGGGCGGTCGCTTGGATCTCAGAGTATGGAGCGGATGTGCCGACACCGTCGTGAGCACACTCTGGCCCGCCTGGACGCCTGCACAGCCATGCCGCGCTGAGAGTGCATGTGATTGCTGGCCTCAGCTGGATGCTCCCACATACTGAGGAACCGGAGCGCCTTCACTGCACGACCGAGGCCCTAATTACTGGTACGTTCCTTACATGGCTCAAGGTAAAAATGACCAAGAGCACACCGAACGACAGTGCTTCCGGACTCAAATCTCCAACGGCGGCACCTACCGATCAGGGTGGAGGAGTAGTAGGAGGCAGGCAGCAGATCCTCCACTACAGCCGACGTCAGCCAGAACACGTCCTCCTCCTCCAGGAAGAGCAGCAGGCTGGCCACGATGACACCCATGCCTTGACAGTAGCTGGCGGTAGGACACCAGTGACGTCATCCGGCCGTCACCGCCAGGACCAGACATGGTGGTGGCGGGAGGGCACCGTCTGTCGCAAGGAAGCTGGTGTTTATCACACCATTTGCACACACCTGCTTCGATGGGTCTGATGCTAAGCATGACTTGGTAACATTAAACAGACGATGGCTGTAGGTTTTACTAAGCACTTATCATGTATCTGCATCCCCTGTATGTCACTACGCATTTTGCATGCTTCATCAGGAAGGAGACCCCGAATTAAGCGAGTCCAACTCAGCTATGCAAAAATGTTCTGCTACAGTACCCTGGGGTCAGCATAATCGCCGCGTTCTTCACAGGCGGTCTCCTTTGCAACCATTAATCGCAACCTCCATGTGACTTTCAACAAGTAGCATGGGTACTAAATCTTATACAAACTTTGCATGCAAACGTCTGTCCGGTTTTCCTCCAGCACTGCAATAAGACAAATACCAAGTGCCGCGCCCCAGTTCGACCGACAAAACGGCGTATTTACACTGTTCCGAGAGAATCGCGACAAAGATCGACACCGTCGGCCGTCACACCGGTGGCTGGTCAGGTTAGCCACCCGCCGCCGACGCGTGCACTAACCCGATATCCGGGTACAGCCAGGCCAGCGCCCGCAGCACCCTACGGAGCCTCGGCACGCCCGGCGAATTCAAGTGCGAAAAACACACGTTAGATGGCATCGTGCGCAGGAGGTCCTTCTCGATCTGGCGGTTGCACATGAGTGCTTCGCAAGCAGACACCTTCACCATCTCGGCATATGTCATGTCCGACTGGAGCTTCTTCTGCAGTGCACCTGCCAAGGAGGGGTAGTTTGTCAGTTATGTGTAACACTAACGGCAGGCATCTTGCAACCCAACGGCGACGGGGGTCAATGTGCATCGCATTTTTTGTTTGAAACCTGTTCACGGGTATTCAAGTCTTACGTGTTCTGTCTGCTCGCGCTCTCTTCAGTCAGACTACGATCATTCCGACCAGACACGAGCGCTGCGAGACGGCAACTGTCTTTAACACGCGAGACGAGCAGGCGGTGCCGACCCCGGCGGGCGGCGCCCCAGGCAGTACACCGCCGATCGGGGCAGCGGCAGCTAAATACCGAGGTACAGCAGCACTGGCGGCGCGAGCAGGGGTGGACTCAGGCGCACACCATTAACATCACGATACAACGGGTTTAAGTCGTTTCGGGTCCAACGATGCCATTTTTTTCTTTGTTTTGCCCTAAAACCTCCTTCATGCTCCATAATCACGTTCTGATATATTCATTCAGTTATATTCATGCACTTGTACCCAAATTCATGGCGCTGGCTCCGGGAGTTCTCCCAGCAACAAGCTCCGCTTAGCTGGGTGGATTCCCAGGACATTCAGCTCACGACCCAGCACGAAAATGACCAGTTTTCAGACGGCACTGTGAACGGGTGGTTGTACCTTATTGGGTGGTTATAGTGGGATGTCATTAGCTGACTTTGGCTATGACTACTTTAAGCCTTTTCATGTATGATTTGTCCTTGCCTATTGCATAACACAATTCCTGCCGGGTCTGCACCACCTATTCGCATGCTTCTTTGTTTGTTTCCTCTTCCTAGCTGGGAGTGCTGCGACTTGATTTTATGTTACCTGGTGTTAACGTGCGGTTTATTGCGTCGCTGGGATAAAGGGAGGGGCACTCCTGGTTCCCTGTTCTTGAGTAACGGTATTGAAGAAATGGCATAACCGCGTAGCCCACATTGAGCTGGATCACGCCACGTTAAATTGTGTATAGCAAAATGCATTACTTATTTCTGGATCGGTCCATATACTTAAAACTTTGATTCGGCCAGAATGCGACGTACGCTTTTCTTTTTGTGGTCGCAGGTTGGCAGACATCTTTAAAAGCATCGACCGCCATTGGTTGATGACTTTTGTGACCATTGATTTTGACCAAAACGGACCTGGGTCACGTCAGGGCTAAAGAATCCCTGATGATAAAGGTATGCAATTTACTAGTGGTCGTGTTGCCGTGCATTTTTACTCATTGTTTACTCTGCGACCTTTAGTGAAATCGTATTTCTGAGTTCCGTTCTTCATACATCAACAGAATGTCACTGCTGCCTTCGGAATATGCTCATTCCTTCCCAATAACGTCACGACCCAAGCCCATTTCCCACTCGGCCGAGCGGCGAAGTAAATGCGTTTGTTTATAAATAAGTCGGCAACGTTGACATAACAACACCTGGCAACGGTCGATGTGCTGCTGAGGGCCTTGCATGCCCGGCAAAAAAGGGAGGTCTCTATCTATATGGATGGATAGTGTGATCGAGAATGATTTTTTGTACCACCGAACGGAACGGAACAGCCACGGAACCTGATAAGAACTGTTCGTTAAAATAATATTCAAGTGCGCCGCCATTCCTGCGCACTTTACGTCTCTATGGGGTTGGATGAGCTGATTCTGCTTGTACCCATGTTTGGAATAAAAGGCGTTCTCCACTGGTGTGTATCTATGCCGTCACCTCAATGGGCGCACCTCGGATCGTAAGTCAATGAGGACCTGGGTGGTCTCTGGCGTCGGGACTCACAACCAGCCGCAAACAAATATGGTACGATCTCCAGTAAGCCGCATAGCTCACGCCAACGCTGCGCTTCGCGGGGTCAAGCGGGGTCGAGCGGGGTCAAGCGGGGTCGAGAGGGGTCGAGAGGGGTCGAGCGGGGTCGAGCGGGGTCGAGCGGGATCAAGCGGGATCGAGCGGGTCCGCGGGGTCAAGCAGCACGAAAAGGTCGCACATCAGAGCGGGCGACGGTCGCCCAGCAGTCGGTCACGTGATTTGGTGAACCGCACGCCGTGATCCGGCCGCTTACGTGCCATTTAGCTCGTGACCAAACAAATCGTTCAATGCGCTCCAGTCTGCCTGTCAGACGCATGTCGCAGCTGCGGGCGAACATGGACCACGACTTTTGACATCTTGCAGAGATCCTTTCCACCAGCTCTTGTAAACCTGTCGTATGACCCGGCTATGTGCTCCATTCACCAATTCAACGCAAGCATGCAATATGGCACGGCCGGTCCGGCCAGACGAGCGCTTATGACCATCATGAAGGAGGGACCGCGGAAGGCATGCGCCGCCCAGAGCCGCCGGATGGTTAGTACACAACTTTCTACATATAGCATCTACTAACTAGCTAACTAACTAGAACTAACTAACTAGAACTAACTAACTAGAACTAACTAACTAGAACTAACTAACTAGAACTAGCTAACATCAATGGTGTCTGCAAATGCAACAGAGATCACCGATGACTGCCTTCGAAAACGGAACAAGAAAAGATCATTATATTTTCTGGGAACTGGGAAGCATTTATATCTCTGCAAGGTAGCATCCGCTAAACGTATCACTGTCCTTTAATGTAAACACGCCAGGCTTAACAAGCAGCATTTCGGACAGCACAAAAGGCGTGGAAAATTGGTCGCAATCCACTAGCCAGTCTGGTGGTTCGCGATTAATTTACCTTTTCTGAGAATTGCGAAGCATTTATACCTCTGCAAGATCACATCACCTAAACACATCACTGTCGTGTAACGGGCACCCGCTAGGCTTAACAAGCAGCATTTCCGACAGCACAAAAGGCATGACAAAACCAGTCGCGAACCACCAGTCAGTCCAAATAATAGAACAGTGGAGACTGAAGCCTACGTTTGGAACACTGGAAATACTTTCAGGATCCATAAAACGCATTCGTGAACCACTCGCAGCAACATTCTGGACACAAATACATTGCTGACGAAATCAATGCTACTGCGCCATAGAGCACCAACAATCAATCAATTCATAAATAACTACCACCGATGGCAGCGTGCCATAAACGGCGCAAACAAAGCATTCATCGCGTCCTCTTTTGGACGCCGTTGGCCCCACGTGCTTGATGAGAAATTCCAATGGATCTGGAAAATGCTTCAGAGTTACGAACGTGACCGAAATAAGGTGGCTGGATCGCGGGTCCCCGGTACACGGTGTGCATCTCTGAGCGACTGCCGTTCGTCTGCTCGCTTGACGGATGCCAGGCGAGCTTGGCGGATGTCCGGCGAGCAGACATGTGCGGCCGGAGGATCAGCCACATGTGTGGCCGGAGGGACCACGGCACGCCCTGACTGCTCACCTGACATCCTCAGCCAGATGTGCGGCCAGAGGGAGTGCGGCACGCCCCGGCTGCTCACCTGACATCCTCAGCCAGATGAGGCCGGAGGGAGTGCGGCACGCCCGGCTGCTCACCTGACATCCTCAGCCAGATATGCGGCCGGAGGGAGTGCGGCACGCCCGGCTGCTCACCTGACATCCTCAGCCAGATTGCGGCCAGAGGGAGTGCGGCACGCCCGGCTGCTCACCTGACATCCTCAGCCAGATGTGAGGCCGGAGGGAGTGCGGCACGCCCGGCTGCTCACCTGACATCCTCAGCCAGATGTGAGGCCGGAGGGAGTGCGGCACGCCCGGCTGCTCACCTGACATCCTCAGCCAGATCTGAGGCCGGAGGGAGTGCGGCACGCCCCGGCGCACCATGGCCCGCAGCTTGTCCGTCCTGGGTAGCACCGGCGGCATGTGCTCCCACGACAGCGGCGCCGTCTCCGAGCTGTGGCTGAACTCCAGGTGGGCGATCCACTGCAGCCTGCAGACCGCAACAGCGCTGAAAACATCTTTACGACCGCGCACCGCAGCATGCGAGACATAACAAGGGACACGACATGCCTTGCAGTCAACAGGTAATGCACTGCAGACTGAAACACGATTTATAACCCTGAAACTGCCCCCAATATATTCAGTCAGCTGAATCTTGGTTCATGGGTGGCCAAAGTATCTGTTTTAGTTCACGTTTATTGATACAAGCAAATGCTAGGTTACAGGTTACCAGGGTGCTGAACTTTGATGCCATTTTGAACACAAAACCAAACCATTCAGCTACAATACCTCAAAACTGTACACATTGCAATGTTGTAACGAATCCATTCACGGAAGAAGCACCATATGAAGCAAGAACATTCTCCCAAACGGGAATTCAGGTTACACTGAACGTGATAGAGACAAGATCCCTTGATATTTATATTCTTGAGCACTCTTTGAATCCCATCACTCATCTCAGAGTAGCACGACCATCTGCCTGCGTCACACTGCTCTACCAAACCCACCGCCACCAACGCAGTCGCACCATTCCGTCACTCTTACGACACTGCCGACACTGACGACTGACGACAACGGCGACACTGATGGCTGACGACAATGGCGACACTGACGACTGAAGACAATGACAAGTGACGGTGGCGGAGAGTGCACGCCGATGGACGCTGGGACAAGGCTTAGAGTGGTCAATGCCCACCAATAGCCATCCCACGGGCGCAGATACGTAATGGGCGAAAGTAACAGCTGGGAACAAAACATTCAGATGGGTAGTGCAATCCTCTTCCTGCCCAGAGGTCTTTCGACCATCCAAGTTGAGTTTTGCGTGAAAATTTGAAACTGCTGACATTTTGAAGTCATTCATTTCACATCTGACTATTCCCTGTATTTAAGACAGTTTGTTTCATAACAATTTCAAATTTCAATATGCTCCAGCATTTCCACAAAGGTAGAAATGAAAATCCAATAGCGCCATAAAGATTTTACTCGGCCAAGTCCATCCCGAATAGGAGAATTCCATCAACCAGCTGCTGTTTCCAACATCGTTAATCATCACCGAATCGTCGCTAAAACCATGCCAATTTTCGTCCATCGGCATCTGACCATGCGCATTGAGACCAACTCCCCATACAACCCTCGCCGCCTGCCAACAAAAACGCTCTGCCGCTGCAGCCGTCTCGCAGATCGCGCGCCGTGCCCGCCGCGCCTCACCTGTGCTTCGGACTCTCGGCGAACGGCGTGCTGAGCAGCTTGCTGCTGCTCTGCTCGGGGCCGTCCTCCTCCTCGACGCGGAAGCCGAACTCGTCGATGCGGTAGTCTGGCGGTTCGGCGCCCCGCAGGCGCTCCAGCAGCGACCGCGGCCGCATCCAGCCGGCCACCGCCGACAGCGGCTCGCCGCCGCTCGACACGAACACGTCATCGTCGTCGTCGACGTCATGCGGGGCGCCGCCAGGTCGGTCGGAGTCCTGCAGCAGCGAGGTCATGGCGGCCGCCGCGCGGGCGTCACCGCTCCGTCACCGCCGCTGGGAAGGCTGGTGGCCGCGCGGGACTGGCAGGCGCAGCAGCTACAGCTGAAATGCATGGGCAGCATGCTCAGCACGACTTGCAAGCTGGTACTCACGGAGATTGGCAGGAGTCTGATGATAACTTTCATTTTGGCCATGGTCACTGGATCATGAATTTGAAAAGAGAGGATAAGTTTATTTACAGACTCATGTATATTTTTGTACTTGATACCTTGTCACAAAATGGTAAAAAGATATTATTTGGTCATTGTCATCTTGAGCCAATCCAACATTTTTTGTGGCAGATTAAAAATTTATCAGCATGGCTGCTAAGAGTCATGACAGGATGTCATGACAGGATGTTCAAATTAAGCCAGCATGTGCAGGGCAAATTACAATTTGCCTTAGTGAACTGCACATCATGTTGACAGTCAAGATCATCTATGCTTGCTCTTCATGTAGTTTGTATCACAAAGTTCTGTTACAGAACACAGCAATAGTAATTAAGTCTTTTTGGAAAACCTTTGTAACAATCACACATGATAAATGCATATCATTAAGTGCTCAATACCAAATTGCAGCAATATGTGCAGCAATTATATTCCACAGTACTCCATGCAGAATGCTTCTCATTCATTCTGTCAAATTAGCACATGCTCTTTGGCAGAGCCCTACACTTGCCAAAGTACATGACCTTTGCACCTGGCACTCAATGGCAGAGTTCTGGGTTGTAGAGCCTGTGCACCATTCCCAAAGTCAGCTTGGATTGTGGGGAAGCTTAGGGTGGGGTCTCAGACAATGTTCATTGGGGAGAAACATAAACTACCTGTTTGATCAGAAGAGGAAATACCAGAATCTGCAGTTTGTTTGTCAGCCTAGCATAAGAGTGGTGCATGGCATATTTGTATGCTGTACTACATAGTACAGTTACCATGCAATAGTGTATAGTACAGTGCATTCAAATATTGCAACATTTATGGTGGCACCCTCCAACCCTGAATCTAAAGCATCTTTACCTATAGTGCTTAGGGAACTATCCTAAATTGGGCATCTTTGGCACAGAAACCCCTTCTGGCACTATTTAGATATTGTACTTGAAATTATCAGCTTATGGGCATCACAAAGTGCTTTGTATGGGTAAAAATAATTTGGTGCTATGCATGTCAATTTCATACACAGGTACCTAGTGTCTTAATTCCTAAGTAGCATCAAACTGATATGAACCTAAGAAAATAGCAAATTTGGAGTGCATGGTATGATAACAAGACTGTTGCTACATTGTCATGATGCTAGATGATGATGTGGCAAGGAAACAGAATGCAGTCTAAGGCACCACAGGTTTGGAACACAATATAACTTACTGCTCATGAGTCACTGAATATCAAGCATCAGACAGAGCCTAACTTCCTAGGATAGAACATAGGCTGGGGCTGGGATAAAAAGCACCAGAAAAAGGCCCATCCTGATATGTTCCAAGACTGAAATGGTATTCTTTACCCCATGGCTGACACCAACTGAAATTTACATATTACTGGGAAAAACAACATCTTACAATGATGAGGATGACATAAGCATAAGGGTGTCCACCCAGGACTACATCTACATAATCAACATCTAAGCATATTTCCTTCTCACTTGGGTTCCTGAGTAACAATGTGAACCATAACAAATTTCTTGCGACTTTTTCCAGTTCGCGCAGATCCAAAAACAAGTTTTTTTCAGAAAGTTGGGGTCCATCCCCTCTCTCGCCTTACCTAGGCTGTGTGGAGCATGCTATAACCTTAATACACCTTTCCGTGCGTAAAGCACATCAAGAAAGACTGCCGCAGAAAAGCGATCTCCCAATGGCCGGCCAACGATGCTGGGTATCAAAGCTGAGAGCACAAGAAACGCGATCAATACTTTCATACACGTCCCGCCCCCAACCTACGTAGGCACGATATCTTTGCGGTTTGTTTGTAATTGTTTACGTTGCGCCGCGTTGGGCACGTGTATTCATTCCGGTAGATCTGAAAACGCCAGTTCTGGCAAAATATGTTGTGGAGTCAATGTAAGGCTACCAAAATAGAAACGTTTTGTCACTGTGCTCCTAGCAGTTGAACACAACGGCGCTGCGATGACAAGCGTAGGTCTTAGGTGGACAGCGCTGAAAGGTGTTCGGTTTGGCAATTTCAGTTTAAAACCGCGTAAAAATGTGGGGGATTGATCCTCTTAGAGAACTGCTTCGCGCAGTCAAAATTAGTCATTAAAAAAATCAACCGACTCCAGAAAACAGATAGCAATGTTGACATGGCCATTTAAGAGAACGTAGTTGACTACCAGAACGATCCAGCCGGTCAGCAAGTGTAAGATTCAGATGCAGGTGTTTCCCATCAAATAGTTCCTGGTCCCACTTGTTGGGCCGTACTGAGCAGTTATCCTTAAGCAGTTAAATGGTTTATTACAAGGTGATCAATGATCGATTTGAGCAGCCCATAAGGATGTGTGACAGAATGTAGAACAAATTTGACAGTGGAGTGATGAGTATGCCAGCTTCTAAATTGGATGGTGGTAGGTTCATCACATGTTAAGTCTAGTGGGACTTTGAGGTCTGTGAAGACATTCTTTGCAAATGGTTATGTAAGAATAATGTTAATGTTTAATATAAATGAGATGCCATGTTGTAAAGCCCATGCATTACTCCAGGCCTTCAAGATGGATTTCAAAATATGTGCACAGCAGGTCAGATGGTACATGGGCTCTGATCCTACCATAGTAACCTGTATCTGCTCTTGACCTGATTCATAAACAGCCACAAACCATGATATCCAAATCAGTATGGTGTTCATTTATAATTTGGTTGAATAATAACATGCTGCCATCAAATAATTTATAATGTCTGATCATAAAACCTTGCTTAGCTATTTTGATGTTTGTGCTAGCTGTCTTGTGATGCCATATGTTTTGAAGTGGTTGTTACCATCCAAGACTGCTATAGGCCAGATATGTTGTGGATAGTCCATGGTACAGCTACTGCTGTACAGTAGTTCTGAACTAGTGGTTCTGTCTGAGAATCATGAGGTGTTGACAGAACAGATTTGTCCATGCTGGGCATAATTTTGTTTCAGCTGTTAGACCAAAATTCAGCAATTTTCAGGCCTTTATATGGTCTGTGGTCTAATGATGGGCCTTGATTTGTGCTTATTATGTCCTACCACTGTGTCTGTGGTCTAGGGTGATTTACCTTCATGTGCTTGAGTAACTGCTAACTGAATGGTTCTTTGTCATGGATAAATTGTGTTTTGGCCTATTTCACAACACAAATGGCAAGCAATATATCACCATCAAAAGTGACATTAGTCTGCTTCCAGGCATAAGTATATTTTGTAATCTCTGTAACTTCCTGCTCAGAGGCAGTGCTGCAAAATGAGGATCAAAAACATTACCCAAAGTCACTTCAAGGCACCCACCTCCAGTCTCCCATATTCAAGGAATATGGGAGACTGCAGTATTTTTAGTCTCCCATATTCAAGGAATCCCTTGACATTCCTGCTAGCAAGCTGTGCTTACATTGAGAAGATGTGGACATGGTCCCCTTTAGTTTCATCCAAGACTGGGAGACAGGCCATCCTCCATTGGCAGTGCTCCTGATGATAAGTATCTCACACGACCCACCCATGTGGGAAAAAACATGTGTTTTATCACTGTGTGGAGGACAGCATCCCATGATATTGATCAATTGTGACTGAACACAGATTAGTGGAGGAAGTTCTGAGAAAGCCCGCGCCGAACAGGCGGCGCAGGACGGGCATTCGGTCTCCTGGAGCTGCTTAGCTTCCCTCGATGATACCCGCCGAAGATGTCAGGCAAGCGCGTCGGTTGACTTCCGATGTCCAAAAGGAAGTTGTCGCCATGTCTCCGTCCGGTAGCGGCAATATGTCTCCGCCGGAACGAGAGGAGGAGGCCTTCTCCCTGCCGCAGGCGGATCTGGCCGCGTTCCTGGAAGGCGACACAATCGACTCGCGTTGTCGAATGCCGCGGACCGTTGGCTCGCTGCTGCTTCGCTACCTGCTGCCGCAGCTGGAGCTGGAGCGCTACCTCGACAACCTGCGGAGCAAAACGGCGCGGTTGGAGACCAACCACACGAAAGAGAAACCCAACAGCGGCTGCTACCTCACCGGCTCCGCGGCCGAGGGTCTCTCCGTGCCGCCGTACCGGCCGCGCGGCGAAGCGGCCGCTGACCTTCCGCCCATCTGCCCCGACCTGGACGCCATGATGGCGCGCGCGGCGCCGGCCGTGGCCGTGTGGCCGGACTGGGGCTTCTTCCGTCTGGACGAGGCGGCGGCCAGCCACGCCGGGTACGCGCGCGTGGTGCTCACGTCCGGCGCTACCGTGCCGGTCGAGCTAGCGCCGTTCTGCCTGGCAGCTGAGGGGCGCGGCGGCCCGGTGCAGTGCCTCTCCACACGCCTGCTTGAAAGGGTCTGCGACCACGCCGGCGTGATGGCCGCCGCCGTCAAGGCTCACACTCTGCGCACAGGGCCGGCCATCAATGTAGTGGTGGGCGGCGGCGCGCGTGCGCTGGACGCCATCACCGACCTCGACATGGTGCCGGCGCTGCAGCTCACGCGGCCGCCGGCGGCACTGGCCTCCTGGCTAGCGCGCACGGCCGTGCCTGGCGTTGCCTGGCCCTCCACACAGCTGCGGCAAGACGTACTTCGCCATAGCAGGTGGTTCGTGGTGGGTGCAAGCCACGCGAGCGGCGGCCGGAGTGAGCTGGAGTGGCGGCTCTCCTTCTCCGACCCGGAGCGGCGACTTGCGCAGAGTCTGACGGCGGTGCAGCGGAAGGTGTACTTGCTGTTGAAGCTGCTGCAGAAGTGTTACCTCGTGCAGCCCAAGGTACTGGTGACGTACCACCTGAAGACCCTTATGTTTTGGGAGCTGGAAGCGTCGCCACCGGAGCGTTGGTCCGAACGCGGTCTGTTTCAGTGCGTGCTGTGTCTGCTGGACCGGGTAGAGACCTGTCTTGACCGGCACTGCCTGCCGAGCTACTTTTGCCCCGCCAACAACCTCATCAGTCCATGTGGACCGCTCGGACGTCGTGGAGGTGCTGAACGTCGTCAGGTCCATGCGCGACGACCCACTGCGTTACCTGTACGGCATTGATGAGCGGCTTTGGTTTGCCTTCTCCACAACCGAGCCGCTCTCCACCCTGCACCGGCCGCTGCTAGTGGTGGTCCGCTCGGGCAGCCGCGCCGAGATCCTGCGGCAGCTGGCCGCCAGCCTAGTGCGCCAGGCGCGCGTCGGCACTGTGCGCGACCTGCTCTGGCTGCCGCGCTGCGCCGACCTCATGCGAGACGCCTGGTGCTGCCTGGCGGCGCACCAGCTGGCGCCGTGGTCCCGCCGAGACTGGCTCGTGTTCGCCGCGGCGGCAGCGTTCGCGGCAATGGAGAAGGACGAGACCGCGCCCAGGCATGGTGACAGTTTCCACCGCCAGGGTGGTGACCATGGTTTCAACCCAATCCCGCGAACGGACTGTACCGACTGTCCCCCCGCGCTGGCAGGTGCTCGTCCTGAAGAGGACTTCATTGAGGTCCTACGCTGGCTCCTACCCGACGTGGATGGCGAGCTGGTCCTGTTTCTCTGGTTCGTGTTGCTGGGGGATGGTACCGGGACTGGCCCGGACCGAGCCGTATCGCGCGGCTGTGCCGATGTGACGAGCGACACGGACGGCGCTCCGGTCGTGGCTGCCAACAGCCCCTGCACCGCTAGCCGTCCGGGCAGTGCCAGCCGCAGCGCGTCAAGCGTGGAGGACTGCACTGCTGGGGCCGTCACGCCCGCGAAAGTCACTTCTAGCAGTGGCCACGTCGATCCGCCAATCTTCAACTGGGAAGAAGCAGTCGAGGTCTTTGGTGTTCACGAATCTGTTCGACTTGCATGCGGCGGTCCTGGACCGAGCTACTGCGGCATGCCGATCAGAAGACGGAAAGGCCAGACTTACCAGTGGGACAGGAAGCCGAGGACACCACTACTCCTGGAGGGTCGGGACATGCGAATGCTTCTTCCCCAACAAAGGAAAAATCCTTCCCGTCGCTACAGGAAGATGAGAACACCTTGCCATCGGGGTCGACAGTTGAAGACGTCTCGTCCCCGGTGGTATTGGTAGTCGAAGATACCACTACTCCGGGGGGACCGGAAAAGGGGCCTATTTCTTCGTCGTCGGTTCCAGAAGCCGAATCAACATCTTCCCGCTGGCTGCTGGAAGCCGAGAATACCTCACCAGGGCAGAAAACTAAAGACGTCTCTCCTGGTATGCTGAAGGCCAAAGATTTCGCAACTCCGGAGGGACTGAAACCTGAGAATGATCCTTCCCCAAAATATCTGGATGCCAAGGATGCACGCTTCCCATTGGCACCGGACGCTGCGAAAATCTGTCCAGCAGGTGCTGGAAACTAAAGACACCTCGCCGCCAACAGCAACAAAGGCCGGAGACACCACTGGCCCAGAAAAACTGGAAGGCCAGGATACATCTTTCCTGTCGTCGCTGGAAATCAATGACGCCTGTACGGTGCGATCCGAAGCCGATGGGGCCTTGTGGATAGCAGCACCAGGGGCCAGAGAACCCACTTCTCCGGGAGGATCGAAAGTCGCGAACGTCTCTTCTCCGCCGGCCGTGGAAGGCGAGAAACCATCTTTCCTACCGCTACAAGAAGCCGAGGACACACCGCCATTGGGATCGGCGTCTGAAGGCCCCTCGTTCCCCATGGCGCCAGGAGTGGAGGATACCACTTTTGCGGGAGGACTGGAAGTTGAGAATATCTCTTCCGTGGTGAGGGTGGAAGCCGAGGATACACCTGCACCGTCGCTTCCGTTAGCCGAGGACCCCGCCGCCCGTCGAGCACAGATGGCCGCGCTGAAGCGTAACATCGAGCGTTCGTTCTCGCGACTAGCCGGCCACCTGGACGGAAGTATTCGCCGTCTGCGAGAGATACACCCGGTGCCCGAGGCCGTGCTGCTTCGCGACGCATACGGACTGCGGACGGCGCAGCAGGGCGCCAGCTGCGCTGCGTTGCTGGACGTTCTGGGTGCGCTGCTGCACCGCCGGCAGCAACGGCTGGCCGCCCGCTGCGCACGCCGTGCACTGAGCTTGGCGGCCGAGGACGGCGGCCTTCCAGACATGAAGACAGCGTCCTGCGTGGATCTGTGCGAGGCCGAAGCTTTTTTGGCGCGGCTGCCAACGGCGATCGTGACGCTCCTGCGACGACACCGGCGCAGGGCGCCACTATTGCCAACGCTGAGATTCGCGGCGTTTGTGGCGCAGGTGGAGGGTAGCTGTGCCGGAGACCATCTGCGGGAAGGTGCAGGAGGGGTGGATGAGTTGTTCGTGCTGCCGCCGCTGGAGAGGAGGCTGGCTGAAGAGGAGGAGGCGTCGGAGAGGGCGGAGAGGGACGCGTTCTACTGGACCAGCGCCGTGATGAGGCTGTGCGCTAGGCAGATGGCCGGGGAGGACGTGGAGGCGTGCCTGCGGGACGTTCTGGCCGTTGAGGAGCCGGATGTTGGGAAGAAGGCTGTGCAGTTTTTGCATCAGTGGAAAATCTAGTCACATGGCGGAGAGACGCAAATTTCGTCAGAAATCTGCGCCTACCTAGCGCTGATATATGCAGCTGTCAGGCATCTGACTACGCTAATTATCGTGATCTGGCACGCGTCGTGTGATGCGTGCGGTACTTAAATGAAAATGGTACCACGAATGGAATAATTATTGGGATGGGCGCCGCTCCGGAGCTTCCTTTATGCAAACTGCGCGCACGTTGATACGAAGTTCCTCATCATATACTCGACCCGTACGTTACCGAAAACGCATTGCTGTTCGTATGTGCTATCGGCGGTTGGTGTTTATTTTGTACTCTATTGAAGGAAGACGTGCACTAACGTGCTGGAGTTAACCTCGTCGTGAGTTCTGCTCACTACGATACTGAGCGTTGTTATTTCCGTTGCACACGGACAACACCGAATAAAAAAGGTTGTTGCTATTCGTTGCAGTCTGAAACGTTCACCTGACACTTCTTAGCTGATCGTCGAGGTAAAGAACACGACGTCGCGCCGAAAGATGCAAGAATGACTAATGAGTAAGTGTGGCGCCGAAAACCGCCGCAAACACATGCAACAAAAGATGTGACCGCCCATCTGTAGTTTGATAACAATGCTTCTCGGCCTTTGGCTATGGGTAGTGTTTGGAAGTGCTGTACTCCTAGACTTGCGGTATTTGTATATAATGACTGCTCTAGAGAGCTCAATGCTGGATTTTTTGGTGTACTTGATCTTTCCGTCCTGCACAGCCCGCACGGAAGTGCCTTGGCAGCACAACGATCTACGTCGTTCTGCCCTTAATAGCCCGTAGGTTCACGTGTTAAACGCCTGTTTTTCGCAGAGTTGTGGACCGAACGTGAGTCATGGGTTCTATCTTCGGGAGCCGTGATCGGGAGTCAATTCTATCGGTAGTCATGGGTGGCAAAAGGCGACAGAGTCGAGCATAATCGGAGCCTGGGCTCCAAGGCCGCCTCCCCATTGGCTGCGCCCCTGGATTGCTAGGGTTCAGTGGAACCCCACCTTTGAGAATTAAGCGGCATTAACCCTGATGGCGTCGCATGAAAAACAGCAGACCGAAAATCCGGCTACGCCTCCCTTAATCCTGGCAGTTGCAACGTCACTGGCAGGGATGAACTATGCTCCGGGCGGCAGCCGCTGTCAGTCGTTCTCTCCCCCTCCTCCCCCCCCCCTCAGCGTTCCAGTCGATGCTACCTCGGGAAGTGTTGCCAAAACCTTGTGCACGGGAAGTGCCAGCAATGACGCCCAATATAGGTTTTGCAGTGCCCAAATGTTTCAATTCAACTTCTCTTCATAAAAGCTCGCGTGATCAATGCCCGGGGGGGGGGGGGGGGACGCCTGTCAAGCCGCGTTCCCTACGCAGGTAATCGTCAAGTGAACCAGACCACAAACCCCAGCGATTTCGACGCCCCGGCAGCATGGCTCGCGACGTATTGAAACAGCCGGTAGCGGTGGTATCCGCAGCCCGCGAGAAGCACCCGGGGAACCGTACGCAAGATGCTGCCCGATCACGGACCATTCAAGACCGGTTAACAGTTTACAACTCTATAGATAAGGGCAGCTGGGTCGCTTCTGCTACCCGTAGACCGCAACGTTTGCTGCGTTCGCTCCTCCATCATTGCGACGTCGAAGGATGACCTTGCTGAGCCATGCGCGGGCTCCACGACTCAACGGCAGCGCGGCAAGAATGGCTCGGTAGAGGTGACGTAAATAATCATGGCTACCAACCATCCGCAGTGGGAGCCGGCCTCACCCACGCGGCATGCGTCCAGCGGAAGTCGTTGGAAATCGTGTATTAACGAATCATGCTGGACATGGATGATGGGACTTTGTCCCTATTGTACGACATACGCGGCACCAAGCCCCTTACAAGTTTGCGGTGATGGCATGGGGTCGCGCCCATATTAATCGATATGTACAAAATAAATATGGGATTCAACACACGCAGCGAACATCTGGCGACAACATTCAGACACTAACACATCGAAAGCTCTTGCCACCGTCTACCAGACCTACATTTCCTAAGCGTCCATCGGCAACGCGAGTCGGATGGCGACACTTGAGTCTTGAGGCAGACTCCCACGGATGCCGTATCCGCTAGCGCATCCGGCAAATGGACTCGGACCACAAACAAGGGCTACGAGGTCGGTCGCCGAAAAAACGCGACGACGAAGATTTTGCAGTTATCACAAACACCTGGTTTCTAGCAAATACATGCCTATCGTCGAGCCTTCACTGCTGCCGTCCGCATGGTGGCGACCACAACTAGCCTCCGCATGCGATGTAGGAAACTTGCAGGCAGCAAGCAAAAGTGGTATATCAGTAGGTATGCGGGCGATATTGGCCGTCGTCTTCCGTTCCCCTTGAGCCAGGGAAGACATCAATTACGAGATACTACCAGCCGCGGACAACTGGTGGCGACGCGCGCAGCAGTACTGCATCAGCCGGTCAGCCTCATGACTTCCGCGACTGGCATCGCTGCCTCCCTCAACCCCGGGTCGCACGGCGGTCGGTAGAGTGAAGACAACCCGGCTCAGGGACCAGCGACGTGCGACGGAGAGTCCGGCCTTCCTCCTGATCATGCCCAGCCGTCGACAGGCGTCCCGGTTCAGACCGCGCCACGCACATGCGTTTGAGACCCAGAGATACAGAACGCGAGATTTTCCCCTGACCGCGAGCCTGCCGTTTGCCGGCGCCGCGTTACACAGCGCGCCTAGTTTCGATCACCGTGGGCTGCGCAGCGGCTGACGGCCTGCTGGGCAGCCGAGCACCGAGCCCACAAGCACCTGGCTCGCAGGAGTCACGCAATACATCCTGGTCGGACCTGAACACATGAGCACGCGAGGACGCGGACGCGCCCCAGAGTCGGCGCAGACCGTCTCTGTCCGGTCGCGCTCGGGCCACTGACGCCCCGCGCTGACAACAATTGGAACGGCGACAGACGGCGCGTGCGTGGACTAGACATCGCTGTCATGGCGGGGCGGTGCGACGCGACGGGCTCCGGGGGCGATGACGCAGGCCTGCCCCCCTATCACAGACGGACGCCGGCCGGCGCTCAGACCACGTGCTGCGACCGGTTCAGCGGCTGTAGACTCTGCCGGGGCGGGAGACGGGCGGCGTCAGTGTCAGCAGCGGCAGCGGCACGGTATCGTTCCAGACGCGACCGGCCAGTACGCCCGGTCACCGCACAGATCGCATGACTTGTAACGGCGCATTGGGAGAACGGGACGGCATGAGTGTAAGACTTTCGGATAAAAGACGCTGGCAAGTGAGGCGTTGGGAACTGGACTGTCGGCACGCCTCTGCAACCAAATACTGATGAACAGTGACGCCAGAGATAGAAGCAAACTTCCAGGAAAACGCCCGCCACCAGAGGTCCGTCTCATTCTGTATCTTCATCGGCCACCTTACTGACAAACGACAACTAAATAAAACCGGTAGCATGCAGACACAACGATGCCAAAACCACCAAACACACTACGCACAGAAACGGAAACAGAGGCGTAAAATAAAATGTGAATTCCTTTTCCTGCATCACCACCAACAACGACAGACACCAAGCGCTCCGGCGGCCCCACCAGCACGGCGAGGAGCGAGGCATGCACGCGGAGCGGACTGCCACCTACGTACCGGGCCTGACAGCGGCTCAGCACACGTGACTGACCAGCATCGGCTCGGCTGTGAGCGGCGGCTGGCGCGGCGAGACGGAGCCGTCAGACTGGCGCGCGCGCGCACACACACCCCCAAACACACACACACACACACGCGCGACACGGCGGCACGGGCGACGGCACAGGGGTGCGGTGCGCACGCCCGTCCCACCGCCCGGCGCCAGGCGGTGCTGCGCTGCAGTGTTATGTGCACTGTGCAAGCGTGCCGTCGCGTGACGCTGTGAGGGCCGAGGTGGCCGAAGACGTTACGGTTATCAACAACCTGGTCCGGGTCATCCTAAAATGAACTGCTCGTGGGGCACACGAGTCCCAAGAAGTATCCTGTTACATACCGCCGGCGTTAGTGGGAAGTGACGGGGATTGCACTCCACTTCACGACAAAGAAGTCGCTTCAAGAGGAACCAAAGCACGGTGCGTCTGTGCAAATGCGCTGTGCAGGTAATGGTCAGCTTGACCCCATCGTGAACACACATACCTCTTCATTTCCTCTGCCAGGGTGGCCAGGACTCCTGGACTTCTCCAGCTTGATGGAATCGACAGTGGTCTTCTTGTAAATGGGGTTATCGAAGTTGCGGAAGCCTTTGGTCGGGCATTGGCGATAGATGATGTACCCAATCTGAGGAAAGAGCACGTCATCAGGCTCCGCACTGCCGTCGGGAACGCTGCCCAGCTCCAGCTCCAGCTCCAGCTCCAGCTCCAGCTCCAGCTTCAGCTCCAGCTCGTGAAAAGCTGGGACAACCAGACTGCCAACGTAACGGACAGAATTTTCACTCCGCGCAACCTGCACAGCGACATCTGCTTCGTCGGGCCTCTGTCTTCGCCCAACGAGTGGACGCCAATCGCCGCGCGTCATGTGTCTCACCGCGGCCAGCACGAGGACGAAGACGATGGAGCCGATGACGACGCCGGCGATGGTGCCGTCGTCGGCGGCGACCGGTGCGTGGCGCTCCACCGACCCCGACTCCGGCGACGTGGCGGCCGTCACTGCGAGCAGACACGGCGAGGTCAGCCCACGGGGAGCACGCGCCCCACAGAGAGCGCCGAGTCCTGCTCGGGGCCGCGACCAGTACACATACGAGCACTTCTCAGTGTTTGCTGATTGGCAGACTGGTAACAAAGATGGCGGACTGCACAGCAATAAAGACTGGCAAAAGTTACACGAAGCACTTGCTCGCCCGCTTGCGCGCTTGCTGGCACTTGCGGTGCAGCTTGAAAAAGTTGTAGGAAAAGTATTTCTGAGCGCAATAAGCTAGCTGGCACTGTCGTACCATTCTGGATGGCAACGGTCGGCTCCAAACGTTTGGCCGGGTAACCGTGCAGCCGGCTTTCGTTTCGAAAGACGGTAAGGTCGGGTGGCGTTGGGACGACCAGTGAATGGCGTGCGGGAGGTGTAAAATTCAACCGTTTGGGCTCATGCTTCCCTGCAAAAGACGTTCAAACAAGCGTGAGGCAATGACGCAGAACGACTGGCTGTGGCCCCGGCCAGTGCATGGACGCCACGCACCTTAATAGGCACGCCCAGACAGCAGATCCCAGGGCCAAGCGGCCGCTTAGCATGCTGGTTGGGAACTCGTGCAGGTCATGCCAGTTCAAATTTCGATGGCATTTTCCACGAAAGATTTCCTTAACCTGGGGTGACGTTGAACTCAAGCACGCGATGCTACGCTATTTCAGGTTTGAACTTTCGTGTGAAAAGCACGGCCATTCTCAGATGTCAGAACGTCATTACATTTAGGAATAACATATTCTGATAGTTCAGTTGGCTCACGCACAACCACCTAAATGCGAGGAGGGGTTGAATGTCCTTACACTTGACATCGGGCTTTTAGTCATAAATGGGTTCTAAGTTGCAGAACGGGCATTTCAAAAATGCTAGTATTACACCAATGATATAGAAACAAGTCGGGCCCATAGATTTTCCCAGAAAAGCGTTGAGAAATGAAACCATGAATAGTGGTAGAAGGCGCCACATAACCCAGACTACGTTTCAACCACGTTCAGTTGCATAACAAATCCATACGTTTTAGCCCTGGATTTCAGCCCTCGCGGTTCGCCTCGCGCATGCACCCACGCGGCCACGCCATGCTACATCCCAGCCATGCCACGGTCAGACATGCCACATGCTCTACCATGCCACCGTCCCGACATGCCAACAGCATCACGCCCATGCCAAGTCTCCTCCCATAGCGCATGCCCTGTCATGCCATGAAGCCACCAGTCGACCACCGCCACGCCGCCGGCCGCGCGGCACGAGGCCCCCGGAGCCCGGCCCGGACCACTGACCACTTTCGACACAGCTGAGCTGGTCGGGCCCGAGCGCCAGGCCGTCGGGGCACGCGCAGCCCGTGCGCCGCCGGCTGCCGGCCGTCCGCGGCGCCGGCAGGCACAGGTGCGAGCACTGGCCGTTGATCGGCAGACAGTGGTTGGTGGCGTTCGGCTGCCTGTACGGGTGGTACACCAGCACGTCCACCGGGAACTGAAGCTGCAAGAGGCGACGAGGCGCGCCGGTCAGCGGGGCTCCACGCGCCACACAAACTTTGACAGCACTGGACTTGGTACATGTTCAGATGACAAGAAACTTTTTGATTAGATTGACTAAATCTGATTAGATGATTAGATGAGATGACTGGATTTTGTGACGGAAACTTAAGCAAGATCGTTTGCAACATCCTCCGCACCTTCAACGAGACGACATCCTGTTCTAATTTCTCCCACGCGGTTAAAACCATCACAAAACGCGCCATTCAGAGCCAAACAAAAAGCTACAATCCCATCTCTGCGTCCTTGCTCGACGAGTTGTTCAAATACGAGATCATCCACTCAGCCAACACGGCGGCGGCACATCAATGCAGTGTCAGAGCGCACAGCCGCCGGCCGCTTACATTCCCCATGGGCGCGACGCTCGTGACACCGGCGCCAGTGAACTTGTTGGCTTTGAACACGCTCATCTTGTCCCAGTCGGTCCAGTAGATCCAGTCCTCGAAGGTGGTGATGCTGAACGGATGGTGCAGCGCCAGCGGACTGCTCAGCACGATGCGCCGGTTAGCGCCGTCGAAGTCGGCGCTCTCGATCAGCTTCAGCTTGGCGTCCACCCAGAAGACGCGCTGCTTGACGAAGTCCAGCGTCACGCCGTTGGGCCACTCGATGCGCGTGTCGACGATGGTCTGCCGCTGGCTGCCGTCCATGCCGGCGCGCTCGATCCGCGGCCGCGCGCCCCAGTCCGACCAGTACATCCAGCTGGGCCGGGGACGAGACAGCGCCGTTAGTCGCCAGCCAGCGCCGCGGCGGCGACCGGCGGCCGACGCGCACCGGCGGCCAGAAGCTGTCGAGTCAGACCTTGTCTCGACAGCGACGCAAAAGCCCAGGCCTTATTGCCGCGGGAGAGCTCAGCATTATCCTTCTATGCACTCATCTCTTATGATCACCCTCATCCCCTCGCGCCGCACCTTTACGAGCAAACGAGTGGTGGCCACATCCGAGAAGACGGCTGCAGTGCACGGCCCGTGCGACGGCGGCTCACTCACCCCTGCACCGGATCGAGTGTGATGGAGCGCGGTTTGAGCAGGTCAGTGCGCACCACCGTGGCGTGCGCGCCGCCATCGAGGTCGGACACGTCGATCGTGCTGCCGACGCCGCGCTGGTTGCGGATCCAGTACAGGTGCCGGTACAGCCAGTCCACGGCGATGCCGTCAGCCCTGACGTCCCGCACCACCACCGTCCGCTCGGTCGCCTCGTCGATCGGCGCCCTGCAGCAGGCGGGGTCAGGTCAGTGATGCAATCCATGCCGAGCTACCCCGGGACGGTAGGGTCCTGGGCAGGACGCCGTGCCCTATGCCGGGCCAGACACCGCATTCGGCTGGAGCACCACAGGCTGCGTCGCTAACGTTCCCACCAACGTGCGAGTACATTCTACGCATTATCCCAGCGCTGGGAAATTCTCGAGAATCCCGCTCCTCGCGCCCCCGGAGACTGTGCGCCAGGCCGACCAGTATGCAGCGCGGACAGCCAGCTCCTCGCCGGTCTCCGGGCGGCTCGCTGACACTCGGCGACAGGCGGCGCGCCGGCACGAGACGAGCCCACCCGGGGGGCGCGCGGCCCGACCGGCGCGCGGAGCCGTGATGCCCCCGGGGCCCGAGCGCTAGTGAGTTAGGAGGCCAGCGCAGATCAAAGACCGCCCGATCCATCACAGGACGGCCGGGGAGTACGGAGAGAGCGGGGCGAGAGAGAGAGAGAGAGCGAGAGCGCCCGCGACCGCCCGCGATATGCCCTCTGACGTGGCTCGTTACGGCCGGGCCAGCCACGTCGGCTTCCAGAATTACGGCCTCAGGTCTGGAGCGGCACAGATCGGAAACTGAGTTCCTGGGCGGGTGGTCAGAGTTTGGCAGGAGCGGCGTCACGCGACGAGATGATCCCGCACTGGCTTTGCGATCGTCAGCCCGCTCGTTCCCCGGCTTCGCCGTCGTCGACGGGCGATGATGGCAATTTCCGTCGGGCGCCTATTGAACGCTATCGTCGGAGGCGGGCCAATTAGTTTAATTAATGTCCACATCAGACTTCAGAGTTATCTGAGGCAGCAGACCACGTTCGAATTGCCACACTAAGCGAGCTGATTCCGTGGGCCAGCAGCGCAGCGCCATTTTCGGAGCGTGATGCCCCATGCCATCACTCGTTACTGACCGCCACCAATGCCCCGGGATGTGCCGCAGGACGGCTCAGTCCACGCTCGCAGGCATAAGCATGGTGCCGGCGCGGCGGTGATGACCGGCGGCGGCTAGGAGCCCCGCTCAATCATCACTGCACGTCGATAGCACATAGGACGCGTCTCGCGCCCCGCCGCCATCCGCACGTCGCCAGCGCGGCGCCAGCAATCCCATTACCGACGGGGCGCCGGCGGGCACGGCGGCGCCGGACGAGCAGGCGCCGCCACCCCTCCCCCCGACCACTCGATGCCGCTCGGGCGCCGCACCGGCCGACGCGCCCAGAACGGCGCGCAATTTGTCTCGTCCCGTCCCGCCAAGATTGCCGCCGCCCGCGGTCGCCTGTCGACGCCGCGGCGCGGCCGGCTCCGGAGCGCCGCTCTCAGATTTGCATACGGCGGCGCCGCCGGCCGGTCGGGACGCACGGCCGGATGGGCTCACTTGTAGATGCGCTGGTCGCTGAAGTCCGACCAGTACACCAGGCCCGTGCGGAACTCGTAGTCGACCGAGCTGGCTGAGCGTGTCTTGTTGACGATTGACGTCATCTCGCGCTGGTACAGGCCCACCTTCCGGATGTCGCGCCTGCAACAGAGCGGCGAGTGTCACACGAAGTCTTAGCGGACGGGTGGCGAGTGCGAACCGACTCGCCCGGTGGCACAACGCCCAAACATCTCATTCCACGAACCACTTTCCGTTGTGACAATCCTTTCCAGGAGCGTTCGTGTTCAGTTTTTCTCACCGGACGAATGGGCAGCTCGGGGGCGGGGGCGGGGGCGGGGGGCAGGGACGGGGGAGGCGCTCGGGACCGTCCGCTCAGTCGGTTTCGGCCGCCCGGGTCACAGGGCAGACAAGTGGCCGGTCCAATGTCCGGCCACAGCTGCGCCGGACGACTTAATGACGCTCGGTCGGCGAGCGCGGACCGGTGCCGGCCGCAGCCGCCCGTTATCAGTGACCGGATGTCCGACGGCGTGGCGCTGACCGTTCCCGAACCGTCGCCGGCTGGGCGGACGGAGCGCCCAGGAGCGGGAGCGCGGGAGGGAGCGCAGGAGCGCCCAGGCACTTTCAGCGCCACACAGCCGGCGTTCACGCGGGACGGACTCCTCAAGCGCGAGCCTCGCCGGTGTCGTCCACGACACTGAAGACGTTCTGCGCCCCAGTCATATCGCGAGGAGAAGTTCAGTCCCTAAGCTCCACGTTCGCGACAAACACCTCCGTTTAGTTGGCCTCACTTCATCGGGCGAACAGCTTCAGCGATGCCCACTCGGCTTTCAACGGCACGGAAACTCGAACGGGCAAGGAAATTTCAACGGCAACCATTCGCGGGCAGGACCCGGCGGAACGGAGCTCGTCTCCGGCCAGATTCTAGAAACAGCACCGTACTCGGCTGCATCGCACTTTACGAGTGTCCATTACGGCCTATCGGCGCCAGGCCGGCCGGCCGGCCGGATATGTAGCCCAGCGTCGGGCTTTAATCACGGCCAATGATTGTGCCAGGTCCCGCGCCGCGCCGACGGCTGCAGGAGCCTCACTCCGTGGCAGACAGCCGCCGCTGACAAGATCTGGGCTGCTGGACGTGGACGTGCAGCACATAAGGCCTGATGATGATTTGGGCTTTGGGGCGCACCAACTACGTTGGCCATATGGCGCCCATGGCACATGAGGTCTCTGCGCAGGTCATGGCACGGGTCACGGTGCAGGGAACGGTGCAAGTCACGGCGCATGTCATAGCGCAATGAACGGTACATGTCACGGCGTAAGTCACGGCACAGGTCAGCGCGCAGGTCGCGCACGCCAGAGCTCCAGCCTGTTTAATCAACAGCAGAAGATGGATTGGCGGCGACGTCAGCGGTCCCCTAACTATTCATTTGATTACCCAAAGCACTGGCTTGCATCTCGTCGTCCTGACATCGCACATCAATTATGCAAACAGCGCGCACAGCTCAGGAAAGTTCTGTCACGACTTGATGTGATTCCCGGTGGCGGATGACAGCCGGGGCCGACTGAGATGTTTCCGCGCCGCAGCCAAAAGGTCACCGGGCCGGCCCTCTCCGTCTGGGATCCGCCGGAGTTGCACTCTCGGATCCGATGACCCCGAGCCAGACCCCATCGATCTCCATGCCGACGGCCCAAAAGTCCAAGCCGGCGGAGCGCTTTAAGCCCGTCCGGCACGAACAGCGACGATATGAAAGCCACGCTGTGCAGTACATAAAGCCTCGAAAACATCAAACGGAGGCGGAGGAGATACTCCGCCGACGAGGAGCGCATCATCCACACCGAGCACAAGAGCGCTGCCGGGCACATCCGTCCACCACCTACCCGTGCGTCAGGAGGAGCGACGCGTGCACTTCGACGGCCTTGCAGAACGTGTGGTCGGCAGGGTCGCGCTTGTAGCCCTCGATGCACTCGCACTTGAACGAGCCTTTCTCGTTGATGCAGGTCTGGCTGCAGGACCCCGGCGTCTGGCACTCGTCAATATCTGCCGACACGGGAGCCCAGTCGCACCACACGCCAGAGAGAACAGGCCACACACGCTGAACAGGCCACACACCTCCGCACGTGACACGCACGGACGCCCCGCTACAAACGCTCGGGTGACGCACCACCATCGTAAAGGTGACCAAGGGTGACGTAACCGGACGGTGACACTATCCAGCTAGCACTGCAGCACCGTCCACGCGACCGGGCTGAGCGTCATCTCGGCGCGGCCGCCTCCTCCAAGACAATTTTTCAAACCAAGCCGACACCCACGCGCATAAGCCTGCACGTCTCAGACCCGACAGCAGGCGGAGAACTGCGACGCTTAGTCAGCCTCTGCGTCCGGGGCCGGCAGGCGCCGCCGGTCCGGCCGCCCGGCCGCTCACTGGCTCGTTCGCCCCCCTCCTCCCCAGGCCGCCGCCCGGCCACTCACCGTCGCACGTCTTGCCGTCCTCCATCAGCCGGAAGCCGCGCGGGCAGAAGCAGCGGAAGCCGACCGGCTGGTTGCGGCAGCCGTGGCTGCAGCCGCCGTTGTCCTGGGCGCACTCGTTACGCTGACAGAGCGCGCCCTCGTCCGAGCCGTCGCCGCAGTCGTCGGCGCCGTTGCAGGCCAGCTCGATGGCCACGCAGCGGCCGCTGGCGCACGTGAAGTGTTGCTCGGGGTCGCACAGCGTCGTCACGTCTGTCGCAGGGCGATCGGTCAGGGGAATCCTAGGGCCGCGCCGGGAGGGTGCCGGCGCGTGCAGAGCTGGGCGGACAGCGGCACCGGACAGACGGCGGCCACGACCGGGACGCGCCGGCGAAAGAGAGGTGTGGGTACTGTGCATCCGACTAGCAGATCAGTTCCGTGGAAAAACGCAGTTGCAGTGCAGGCAAAGCGCAAAACGAGCCAAACGATGACGGCAGTGACTATCGGGATGTGTAGAAAGAAATGGGCGTTTGCGGGGGGCTTCGGCTGTAAAATCCAGACGAGAAACGATCACGCACATGGTCAGTTCCAACCGTCTCGAGTAACATGACAGAATAAGCACATTCACCGATTCCCGGTGTATCAAGTGTAATTTCTGAGCTTTGGCGGAAAGCATATGTAACGTTGGTCCCCCCACATCAGATGTTCCAACCGAACGTCCGGCGTCTTTACTGCATACCAAGTCCTGCCTTTGTTCTGAGTCACCACGGCAGCAGGCGTTGGACAATACCGCGCGTCACCCCAAGTCTGCTCCACGAGCGACGCTGTTTTGCGCGCCGGCGCCGGACGCGCGCCTGTCAGCCCATTAGAGGCGTGACGTGACGGGACGGCCGAGCAGGCCAGCGCCGTGCTCGGAGCCTGCCATTCCGGCCGCGGCGCTCGCCTCTTTCTCGGCTCGGAGCCTGCCCCTGCTTTGTGCGACCCAGCCGCGGCCGACGGCACTACGCGCAGAAGGGAGGCGAGCGACGAGCGGTGGGGTTAGGGTGGCCCGGCCCCTGGCGGGCACGCCAGTCCGGGCCCAGCGCTGGTTCAGCGTGGGCGTTGGACCCTCAGATAAACTTCGCAGACCCACATAGTCCCCCCGGCAGACATCCACCAGCTGGTGTGCGAAGCCCGCTTGTATGGGCTGCGTGCCAGACCGGCCTTGGGCCGTGTCAGCGTTTTTACATTCTTACCGACGGAATCCACACACGCCGGCCGAATGGCACCCAGCCACGAACAGGCCCGATGAAGGAGACACATTTGCCAGGGTTCTGCCCACGCCCGCTCGGCCTCCCCGACACGGGCCCATGGCCCGTCGGCCGGGCCGGCGGAGGGGGGGGGGGGGGGGGGGGTCGCGCGTCACTTACTGCACTTGCTCTCGTCGCTGGCGTCTCGGCAGTCCGGCGAGCCGTTACACACCAGCGCGCGGGCCACGCACTCGCCCAGACCGCCGCACTGGAACTGGTCCGCCGGACACGGCGGTCGGCTGCACCTGAGACAGCGCACCAACAGCGCCATCAGCCTGGCGATCTCCTCACGTAATGGCCACTTCTACTCTCAGAAACATCGCCGAAAATAAACACAGTCGGTTACGTCAGGTCTTCAGACCTTGATAAAAACTGTTCCCTGCCAAATCGACCCAGAGGTTAAAGTGAGCAACATATAATTTCGTCTCGTGCATTAATGATACGATCTGGCAAAAACAGCTTATAAAAAACAAGAAAACCCGTGAGTGGTGTGTGATACGCGCCAGTAGCCACAGCTCTAAACTTACCAAAGAACTCGACGGCGCCCCGTCAGCTTAGCGGAAGTTTATGCGGCTGGATTTCCAGACCGGGATACACTTTATCTGACTGCCAGACCGGCGAAATTCAAAACGCATGCAGCCAGAGAGCGGGCTAAATGGGGCTAATTTGAATACTTTGTGTTAGTTTAACTGATTTATTTTCAGCTCCTCGAATGGATGAGGACGGCTCTAGCGCTCGGGGGACTACAACTTTGGACTAGCTAACTAGTACCACCACCAGAGCACCATCACAGTGAAACTACACCCCGCCGGGGAAGAACGCCGACAAACTGCTTCCGACAAACGTTCACGAGCGGCGGTTCCATTGGGACCAGCCTAGTCGTTGCGTTCCTGTAAGTTATGTGTGACGGACGACCCCGTGGGCGTTGGCGTGAACTACCTCTGGCAATCGGCTCGCCACAGCGGATACTCTCCGTGCCTTTAGCTCTAAACCCACAGCTCTTTCCTACCACCTCTGGAGCACGCTGCACAAAGAAAGGTACTCAGCAGCGCCCGCACGCCACCGCACCATACGGCGACGACGCGCTGGGCAGCGCGAGGCGCAGATGTTGCCGACAGGGGAAGGCGGGAGGGGGCTGCCACTCACTTGGCGGGGTCCTCGTCCGAGCTGTCCGGACAGTCGTGGTCGCCGTCGCATATCCAGCCGCGGTGGATGCACGTCATCTGGTCGGCGCACATCTCCTCCCCCGGCGGACACACGCTGGCCGCAGACGACGGCTCCACCTGGCAGTTCTGTCCAGCGCACGGCAGGCCGCATCACACGTGCGCTCCCAGCAGGCGGAGCGGCATTACACGTGCGCACCCGCGATCTCCGGCCCGCTGCCACTGCCGCACTGCGGCGTTGGCTCGCAGTCGCTCTCAGAAAGGGATCTCACGGCGCGCTTATTTTCCAGCTACTCCGGACCAGAGGGAGCACCCGGCAGCACGAGATGTGTCTACCAAAGCCGCGGCATCAGCCCGACAGCCACACAGTTAGTGTCGCTTGAGAGCAGTCTCCTGCCACCGGAAACATACCGCCGCCGGAGGCAAATCTAATCAATAGCGGCCGCCGGCGAGCCGAAAACAGTCCCCGCACCCGACAAATGGCAGGGGGAGTTCGATCAAACCGGCGTCTCGGCGCGGCTGGCGGCGGCGGCGCGCGCGCGCCTCACCTGCTCGTCGCTGGCGTCCCGGCAGTCGCGGTCGCCGTCGCAGTGCAGGCTGCGACTGATGCACTCGCCGCTGCCGCAGGTGAACTCCGAGTCGGGGCTGCAGGTGGGCCGCTGCGGCACAGAGCAGCCGCTCGGTCTCGGCACGACGGCGGCGCAGGACCAGCGCACAGCGACCGCAGGGCAGGACAGGACAGGACAGGACAGGACAGGGCAGGGCAGGACAGGACAGGACAGGACAGGACAGGACAGGACAGGGACAGGACAGGACAGGACAGGGCAGGGCAGGGCAGGGCAGGGCAGGCGGGACGGGACGGGACGGGACGGGACGGGACGGGACGGGGACAGGACAGGACAGGACAGGACAGGACAGGACAGGACAGGACAGGGCAGGGCAGGGCAGGGCAGGGGGCAGGGCCACGGCAGGGCACGGGCAGGGCAGGGCAGGGCAGGGCAGGGCAGGGCAGGGCAGGGCAGGGCAGGGCAGGGCAGGACAGAACAGGACAGGACAGGACAGGGCAGGGCAGGGCTGGGCTGGGCTGGGCTGGGCTGGGCTGGGCTGGGCTGGGCTGGGCTGGGCTGGGCTGGGCTGGGCTGGGCTGGGCTGGGCTGAGCTGGGCTGGGCTGAGCTGGACTGGGCGGCGTCGGGGCTTCGACTTCCCTGCCTGTTCAACAGACTACGTCCCTACAGCTCGCCCGTTCAAATTCACGCTTGGAGGCACTTTAACGCAGTTCAGCCAAACGGAACTCAAATTCTTGAGTGCCTGGTCGAGGCACGTAAAACGCCGCCATTTCGCAGCCGTTGGAAAGGAGAGCCCAATTTGCCAGAGCTAGAATGCAAATGGGGTCTTCAGAGATGATTGATTACCTAGAATAGCAGCGGCAATGTTCTCACACGGGATTTTACATTTAAGTCATAGACTTCGAAACTTTGCACGATAGCGAGGGCTGAAAGAATGTCATTCGCGCCAATCTCGGTGCTTTATCGGTTTTCAGATTTCCTCGAGAGGCTCTGAAAAGGTCAGGTATCTCAGCTGCCACTAAGCTTGAGAGCGTTTGAAAAGATCTCGGGCTCTCTGCCGCCTTCCAGATTTCCTTGAGCTTTTGTTTTTCATCGTTGTCAGGAAAGAAAACGTATTCGCGGCATATTTCGCTATGTTCCTAGCTGTGGTGGAAACGCAAAAATGAAAATATTAACTCATTTAAAAAAGTGTTATCTATTCGCGGGTTCTAAATAACGCATGCATTTTGGCAAACGGAAAACGCTAGCAGATGCATGGGGTCTCGCTCGCAATCTCTTCCTCCGAATGAGAGCGAGACGGAGTGGGAGGAATGAGCGGCGAGCGCTTGCATTTTGCAGGCTGGGCCGTTACCAAGAAAATCGAAAAACGCCAGTGTGGACGGCCGCGAACCAGCGCGAGCCACCGAGTCTCATCTTCGTGCCTCACCAGTCCGCGGCTCTCCCCGTGAACTTGCTTGGGACCCTCACACATAAACTGCCTCGGCGAGTCGCCACGGCCTGCTCTCTCGCGCCCCTGGCGGCGGAGGCGGCGGCGGGGGACGCACCTGACAGTTGAGCTCATCGGAGCCGTCGTCGCAGTCGCTGTCGCCGTCGCAGACCCAGCGGCTGTTGATGCACTTGCCGTCGGCGCAGGTGAACTGATCGGCCGGGCAGGTGCGGGCTGCCGGCGGGGACGGTCGTCAGCGCAGCCGTCTCCAGCAGGCCGCCGCCCGGCCGGGGAGGCGCGCGCCGGCGGACGCTGGCCACTCAGCGTCTCGAGCTCGCTGGCCATTCAGCGCACCCACTGGCAAGTGGAGCAACTGGATTTGATTAGTAGCAACATAAGTGCCCCCTTTCTGGCCGTCGGCTGCTCTGCGGTATTAGGTTTTATTCTCGTCGGACACTTCAGCCATCGAATGGGAAACATAAAGAAGCGAGTATATTGGCTCCTTTCACAAGGCATACTGAAAACGTGCTCCGTGAAGGTTACCTTGACCGAACGATGACACAATCGAGGCAAAGGATGTAATTTTCTGGTATCCCAGTGTCGTAAACATGTGTAGATACTGACGATTTCAACGAATTTTCAAAGCATGCGGAAGTGCTCGCGAAAGTATGAACAAGAAAAGCAATACAAACGCGGAAAAGAATAAGGAAATGGTGCAGCTGCATTCCGACCAAAATAACTGTTCACCAAGCAAAGTTTCGCGGCAGGGCCGTTTCACGGCTCCAATGACTATCGACGTGGACGACTCAGATCTGCCCAGATACAGCCCAATACGCGTAATACGTCCTCAAAGGAGACACAAAGCCGCGACGTGTTCACTCGCGTCTCGATTCACCCCAAAGCACAGTTCTCTCTTACATAACGGGAAAGCAGGACGTAAGCCCGGCGCTAACAGAATGACATGCTCAAGAAGTTCCGAAATGGAAGACGTAAAATTAGCGTGAATGGAATGATACATCCGAATGACGCCAGATTCGCTCGAATGTTCAACATCACATGGCAAAAACTGAATTGAAGTTTGTAATGTACTTCGGAATATGAAAACAAACGTTTCCGAATGTGTTATAATGGCACTCGGGAAATTCGTCCATAAAGCATTCCATCCAACAGAAGCCTCTAGCTGGGCTTTCCGAAAATTAATGAATGAGGTGCTCGCAACCAGTCTTTGGATTTGCAAAAAGCATCTTTCAGCCGCTCCCGCTGGGCCCTAGCTGGCCGATGACCCATGACGCGCCACTCCTCCTCCCTCGGGATCCGCGGCCGAGGTCACCTGAGGGGCGCCACATTCCGCCGGCGGCTGGCGTGATAAGCCCCCCGCGGGCCCCGCGACGACCTCGAACGAGATGAGCCCGCGGCGGCACGGACAACTCACGGGTCCACAGGGACAGCACCGGCGTGCCAGCACCACCGAACGTCGCACCCCGCGACAGATAAGGCTCGTCTGGCGTCTCTAGAGCGATCTCCGATCCCGCCATCCAGCGAATAGCCTTACGCCGTTGACATCAGCCCCCCCCCCCCCCTCCCCCCGTCCGAATCTCCTCGACATGGCGCTTCAATTATGCCGGCGGCGATACGGCTGGTGACCCGAACCACCCGCGGGGCCGCCACGAACGGGTCCGGTTCTGGATTAACTGGTCCGCGATTTAAATGGCAGCACTCTGTCGTAATGGGCACGACCGTTTCGGATGAGAAATTGACGAGCTCAATTCCAGAGGCTCATCGATTGCTCGGACATTATTTATCGGCCGCGGAGGTGCGAGAAATAATCCCGAGAAGCCCTAATGGCACGGAATGCCAATTGACAGGACTGTCCAGGATCTTGCCTGATTCGTTTTGGACGTGATCCGACTCTGGTTGATGGCGGCCTCTGGATATAATTGTGAACTGGAGCCAGCAATACTGTTGCCTTCCGGCCACCAGATACTTCTGATGCTTTTCCACACCACTTGTATGATTGGGAGACTAGGCATACACCAGGCTCTCGATCCCACCTCACTAGAACTAAGCAAACACTATGAAAGTAACATGACAGGATCCAGGAGCCCCAGCTAAATTTCCCCAAGAGCTATTTCAGGACTCAATATTCGGTTTCTCACGCTCTCGGACGACCGTCCATGGTCCTGAGGGCAGCTGGCAATGCTGTGCAAAGATCAAGCGGGATCCAACGTTGAACTGGAAGTCTTTAATCGACCAGCTCCCCAACACCAAAGGCGATTCTCGGTTCTTACAAAAGCATCCTTTGGCACCCCAACCTCCTTTCGCAAGATATGCGCATGTTCGCCAAGCTTACCTCAGAACGCTCGAAACCGACCACGAAAGTACAACATGCAGAACGCACACATAGAAGCCTTCGCGCACTTCACAACTTACAAAAGGAAGTTTTTACATGCTTCGGCCGCATCTAGGGCACATGCATAGCGGATGCGTGATAATCCCCACGCAGTATACAAGCGGTGAAGGCGGACAGTGGGCTCCCGGCAGCGGACAGGCCGCGTGGGCGTGCGGTGCGGACGGGTGCGTGAGCGGGCGCGCGGGAGCCCCAGGCGCCGGGCGGACGGTGCCCGCTACTGCAGGCGTTAGTCGGGTAATGCTTACTACAGTTGGCCTCGTCGCTGCCGTCGCTGCAGTCAGCGGCACCGTCACACAGCCACGTGACGGGCACGCACTCCCCGGCCGAGATTTTACATGCAAACTGGTCGTCAGCGCAGGTCCGCGCGGCTGTCGGCAGACGCACACGGAGCGTTAGCGGGTTAGACGGCCCGCCCGGGCGGCGGACCACCCCACTTACGGCAGTCCTCCTCGTCGTTGCCGTTCGGACAGTCCGGGTGGCCGTCGCAGTGCCAGGCGGCCGGCACACACTGGGCCGCGGTGTCGTTGCCGCAGCGGAACTCGTCCGCCCGACACTGGCGGTCCGCTGCGGACACGGTCGGTGCTGCAGTGCATGCACGGGGGGGGGGGGGGGGGGCAGCGGGATGCGGCGAGCCCGCCGTCCGCCGCACGAGTGTGAACAGCGGTGGTGCGGTACGAGCGGAGCTCGGAGTTCTCGCAATCGCGTCGCACCCAGGCACGGGCCAGAAAGGTCGCTTCCGTGTAGACTTCACTCGGCCGCTAACGGAGCGAACAGTGTCAGTGTCAAATGCACTCAAATATGCAGACGGCAGACTCGGCGGACTCGCCCGGCGGCGGCCAGCATCAAATAGAACCATCCAAAAGTTTTACGAAATCAGAACTCAGCGAAGGGTAATGCTGCGCTAAGAATCCTCCAAAGGGCGCTTCGATCAGAACTTGGACAGTTCGAACTGAGCGTCAACAGCATCGGGACTGTCAATGGCGCCGAGTCGCGAAGGAATCGGTTCTGAGCGGCCGGGGTCAGTTTTGGAGGTCCGTGACGGAGTTCATGGCTGATATCGGTTTTGAGCCTCCAGAACGGGTTTTGGGTGGCCGGTCGGTTCTGAGTGTCCGGCATCAGCTATAAATGTCAGGGACCGGTTTGCACAGCGTCCCGTCTCTGGTGGCAGGCTCGGTGTGCGTCAGCGGGTCGACTGCCCGACGGGACGGGACGACATTCAGCGATACATCACCGGGCCGGACATTTTACAGACGACGGACCAGCGACCCATCTCGGGCAGCCGACGCCGGCTCATCACCGAGCGAGGTGGTCGGGACGTACGGTAGGGGTCTCACGGACGTCGCGTCAACTTCACCACTGGGCTGGCAAGTGATCCATGCCAACGAGCGTCACTGGGCCTGGGAGTGCGTGACGTGTTCCTCTCATACCGCGCCAATCCACATTAAGCACCTGCGGGCACTTGTTTGCCTCCAGTGCAACACAGGTAACACGGGCAAACGTGAATAAAGGTCAAACACCACCTCAGGACAGCCTATTCCTTCCCCGCCCCGCCAGCCGATATGGTCACAGCCGACGCTGCAGACCACCTACCACAGAGCTTGGGGTCCTCGTCGCTGCCGTCCGAGCAGTCGTCGTCGCCATCGCACTGCCAGCGTGAGATGATGCAGCGGCCATTGTTGCAGGTGAACTGCGTTTCGTCGCAGCTCTCGCGCACTGCAACAGGGGATCCGACCGTCAGACGGCTGGCAGCGGCTCGCCGACGGAGCACGGCGTCAGCGGACACCGCGCTCGGTGTCCGCCGACGGAGCGCGGCGTCAGCGGACATCACGCTCGGTGTCCGCTGACGGAGTCGGGGTCACGGACAATGCTCGGTGTCCGCTGACGGAGTGCGGTGTGCGGACACCGCGCTCGGTGTCCGCTGACGGAGCGGGGTCAGCGGACACCGCGCTCGGTGTCCGCCGACGGAGCACGGCGTCAGCGGACATCACGCTCGGTGTCCGCTGACGGAGTGCGGGGTCAGCGGACAATGCGCTCGGTGTCCGCCGACGGAGCACGGCGTCAGCGGACAACGCGCTCGGTGTCCGCTGACGGAGTGCGGGGTCAGCGGACAACTGCGCTCGGTGTCCGCCGACGGAGTGCGGGGTCAGCGGACAACGCGCTCGGTGCCGGCACACAGCCGTCAGCGCTGCAGCTCCGGACTCGCCGGAAAACAACGCTAACGATGAACGCCGGCACGGCAACACAGCCCCGGCTGCCGCCATATGTTCGAATTTCATCTGGGAAAACGGAAACGGGAAAACACGCCGCTGAGTCACGTCGAACCGACGCAACACGATCCTGATAGCTCGCTGGGCCCGGACCGACCCCTGGCACGCTTCCAGTCAGCAGCATCACATACCAACCCTGCTGGGCCTCGGAGGAGACAGTTATAACAAACGAGAAGTTTCACGGCCGGCGACAGTTGCGGCCAGAATGAAAACAGACTGCCTGACTCGGTTAGGGCCGGTCCCCAGCCAGTCGATACGCAGGACGTATAGCGAAGTGTGGCCAATAACATCCCCATGCATCGGGCTGTGCGGCTGCGCTCGCCACCAAACACTCCGCCGACAGCGCTGAAACAGCTCGGCTCAGCAAAGAAATGAAAAAGTTCGGCTGCGGATAAACAACACCACACATGCTTCGATAAAAGCGGGAGGGCAGGCGGCCACGAACCCCATTGTCAGCTTTCCCGTGTTCGTAAATGTTACGCAGCTATATTATTCATTCCGGGGACATGATTCCGGGGAAAAACAAATGACTTGCAATGTGACAAGCACTCCCAGTGTCACATCAAAACCACCTGTGCCGCCGCTGTGCAGGCCGGGGCGGTCCTTGCTCCCCCCCCCCCCTCCCCTCCCCTCCGAGCCTCTGGGCGCACCGTCCGGAGCACCGCCGCCACAGCCCGGAGCTTGAGCATTCTGGACAGTGTTGAAGCCCCAGCCGACGCTGTTTGGAAACCAGCTCAAACCAGGCGAGAATTATCCGAGGAATTGGTGAGAGCGCGTTATTTCATCGGCGGCTGAGCCGGCCGGCCCCAGCGGGCTAACTTTCCGCCAAGCGGCCGAACTTTGCCAACCGCCCTGCCGCGTCCGAGACGGAGGCAGCTTTAAACATTGAGCGACCTCAAAGCCGCACGAGGCTTGCTGAGGCCTCAAAACAATTCGGTTGTTGAGACAGCTCCTGTTAGATTTATCTCCGGTGAAGTTAATGAGCTGTTCTTTTTCAGGAAATACACGTATATCTAATAAAAGGCGATCCAAAAGAGATTAGACATGTGTGGTATCTTTTGGTCTAGGCACAAACAGTTCGCCCAGTGATAACACGCTTCTCTCTCGTCTCAGTCTTTCATTTTCTTTCGAGACTTCAATCATGGTTGGACATTTCGCTTAGGCCGCAGCCTCATATGCGATTCCAGAATGATAGACCACGCTAGATTAAAGTGCAGCCGCCCTTGAAATATTGAAAGCCCCACGCGTTAGTCAGCTGGAATTCAAAATCTCCTGTTCGTCTATGATCTTCCCTCCAAGAAAAAATGTAAAGCGTATCCAAAAGTGCAATATCAGCTGTTCAATAAGGCTGTCACTTATGGTGCTATCGCGACTTAAGCCATCAAGTCAGGTGCGCAGCCAGGGATTCTCTGCGGGGAGGGAGAGAGAGAGAGCTCAGCGACTACGCATCACGCCTATTTTTAACTTTCTGCCAGAGGCCGTCTACAGAAAAAATCGCACCCCTAAGGTCACCCTTGCATCAAGTGGCTGAGTACGTGAAATGCTAACGTTGCTTTCAAGCTAAAGAAGTCTGCCAAACCGCATCACCTGCTTTTGGTATAAGCCACCAGAAAAGCAGCGATCTTTTTCTCGCAACCTGCGTCACTGTAGATTAAAAACCCCCCTTAATGGAAATCAACCCGCGCGTAAGCCCCCAGCTCCTATCACGGACCGTAGGGACCCCGCGGAACTACCGCGGCACCCTGACCCAGCGTCGCCCCCGCTGTGGCACCCTGACCCAGCGTCACCCCCGCTCGGTACCCTAAGCCGGCGTCCCCCGCCGCGGCGGCCGGCCCGGCGTCCCCTCACCGTCGCGGCTGATGGGCCGCCACTTTTGCCGGCATCGACGTCGGCGCGCTGGTCACCTCTTCGCGTCGACGCCATCCAATCCGGCTGTCCGACGCCATCGGCCGTAATGTCGGTGCCGGGGCGGCGGCGACAATGGGCCGCGGCCGTCGAGCGGGCCTGCCGCGCGGACAATGGCGCTCTAACGGCGCCTCGGGGGCTGCCAGATAACATCAGGGGAAGGCACCGGCATCGACCCCGACACCGGCATTAGGCCATTGGGCCGGCGGCTGCAGAATACATCAGGGGATTCCGGCTTCTCCGGGTGTGGGACCCAACACATCACGCCATGCCGACGGCTTCCGCGGATTGCCGTCGAAGTGAACGCATCTATTCACGGCGAAAAGGACGTCGCTAGCCCAGTGTGGGAGAGCGTGTCCCGCCGTGAACACCAGCTCTCTCCGCCGGTGGCAGCGTCACCCCGCCGTCCGAACGTCCGAACGAGCCGACAAAGTTCAGCTCAGCATAGACCCTGGAAGCCTGAGAGCTCAGCAAAAGCATTGTCGGCACGAGCGAAGCTCAGCCGAGACTTCCCCGTCATTAGTGTTTGAATCCGGGCGTGGTTGGTGCGCCTTTTACAGCCCGGGTGGGTGGGGAGGAAGGGGAGGGGAGGGAGGGGAGGGGAGGGGAGGGGAGGGGAGGAGTGGTCCGGCAGACGGCTCTATGGTCCCGACGGACGCCGCACGGCCGCGCACGTCCCGACACTGACAAATGGCGCCGCGTCAGTCGACACTCGGACAGCTAACCGGAACTGTCAGACGGCCGGCACGCCGCGCCCCTGCGGCGGCCGCACAACGCTGTCAGGACTGATGCCCCCCCCCCCTTTCCCCCGGCGACCGGTGCGCTCGACTGCCATCGGTATGTGCTGTTAAATCCTGGCCCGCGGCCGACGGCGCCTGCTGGACGCGCTGCCGGCACCCTGGTGCCGAGCGCTGGAACAAAGTCCGTCGGCTCCCTCTCAGACACCGTGCAGCCGGCGGCCGGTGGGCTGGAGTCACTGGGCAGCCGTGTACTCTTCGCACGCATCGCACAGTCTTCGACGCGACCCCGACCGGCACGGTTAACTCCAGCAGACCAGCGTCAGGCCGGTAGACATGGAGAGACGCGAGACACGACCAGCGCCGATCGCGGCCGCCGTCTGAGCGCCTGACACGTGCCGCGGCCTCTGCCGACCTCCACTCGCGTACCGGCAGCCTCCAGCCGGGCTCTGCCCCCGTCTAACGCCGACGTGACGGGGCGCACGCCGCCGAGGCGTGATCTCGTAAAAAAAACAGCAACAAACCGGACCAGGCATTTGCGCACCGCCAGTCCAATTACGAAATGGTGGGCGTCTGGCTGGACGGTCCCGCCCCGGGCAAGGCTGCAAGGGTCCAAAGAGCACGACCAAGACGGCGTCGCGCGCAGTGTCAAGGCCAGTGCAAAGGAGCGTCACGGGGCTCACGGTCCGCCGTCGGGGTCAGCGCCCGTGGCGCAGCGGCCCAGCACGCGGGCGGCCGGGCTCGGCGGATACGCGATCCGTGACCCCCAGTCCGGCTCGATGGCGAAGATTGAGATCCTGCGGGATGCAGTAGCATGGCCCTTCCGCTCCTAGGGTCGCGCAGCGCTAGGGTTTGGCGATGGTTAGGATGGTTTTCCAGAAAAAGCAAAATAGCTATCACCGCTTTTCCAGAACAGGTCGGGAACAGTGAGGTGTCAAAACCGACCTCACCGTGGTGGTGGTACCCGCCCGGCACCAGTAGTTACTCCATTTACGACAGCAACATCAGATTACTCAGGCATCTACGACCAATTCAACTCGGGCCTGCTTGTTAAGAGTTCCGAGAGCCGTCAGCCATCACGGAGAAATCAATGCAGGTTGGTGTGGAGGAACCTTCGCCACATTCAGCCACAGAGGCTTAAATGAGTCGTGTGAAAGTGCAGTGTCCGCTACACATTGGTGGTCATCAGCAAAATGATTAAATCTCAGAATTTCACAGCAACGTTCACGGCCTACTGCGGGTGACGCGATCGTCGAACTTATCCCGAAAGCTTTGTGGACGCTTTAAGAGATTATCAGAGATTTTCGCTGACGCCCAGTCATCAGAGTCAACGGCTTATACACAACAGCACGCACAAGCTGCACAATATATGCACAAATTGTTTAAGTAAGCAGAGTAAACTGCGCAACTTGAATGCCAGAAGTAATTAGCGCTGGCATCAAAGACAAAGACAAACAAAACATTAACGCTACGTTCACCTATTCACAGAGGGATCTCAGCAAACTAGTGATGCGATTCAACACTGCTTTCACTCGATAGAGAAATTCGCAAAATCTACCATACCAATAAAAACCAATAGGAGGTTGTCATTTATCTGACTGAGAAAAAGAGATTCCATGGAAAAAGTCGCCACATTATGTCCTAACGCGATATAGACAGTGACTCCCCCTCTCTCGTAACAGTGGCATGACTGACAATGTTCCGACATTATTGTCATTATCACTGTTTAGAACAAGGCCTGGGGTAATCGCCATCCTCACACCTCTATGCCCCAGAGCTTGGATCGGTGCGAGCACGCAGACAG